TTGATGAGACCTACAAGTTTTAGTTAAAAGTTTTTATTTTTATTTGAGATAGATGAGAGGCCAAAAGTATTTGTTACAATCTCTGAGCTATTTCAGAAATACTTGGTGGACAGCAGATCGATGTGCTACTGTTCTCTGACTTAGGTGGTGTTTGGATCCAGGGACTTAACTTTAGTCCATGTATTTAGACACTAATTTAGAGTATTAAATATAGACTACTTACAAAATTAATTACAAAAATGAAAGCTAATCCGCGAGACAAATTTTTTAAGCCTAATTAATCCATAATTAGAGAATGTTTACTGTAGCATCACATAGGCTAATCATGGATTAATTAGGCTCAAAAGATTCGTCTCGTGAATTAGTCCAAGATTATGGATGGGCTTTATTAATAGTCTACGTTTAATATTTATAATTAGTGTCCAGACATCCGATATGACAGGGATTTAAAAGTTTTAGTCCCATCTATACAGGGCCTAATAGCTTTTCCTAAGTCAGAGGATCTAGTTCCTGCAGCGAATGGATCAAATCAATTGGTACGGTAGATTTTCTACAGTAGAAAATAGTCAACATTTTAACAACATTTCGCAACAACAGTAATTTTCTGCAGTTGTCCGCAGTTTCTATCTCGCATGGCTTTGCTTTTGTAAGTCAGAGGTGCAAATGCTTTTAAGTCTATGTACTTTGGTTAAAGGTGATAAAAAAGTCTTACTTAACTCTTCCGAACTATATGTTTTGCTGGAGCACTTAACCCCTTATTCTATTTTACAGGTCACTTTATATCATGATCTATTGAAAACAATTCAGTTTACTCATCGTGATATTTTTCTTTTTGTTATCTGTCATATTTCTGCACTAAAATTGATAGAATTAAATAGATGTATAACAACTTATCTCTCAACATTTTTAAATATTTTATCATTATTTACATATGGGAAACAACTAAGATTGATTTAAACAACAAAATTAAGTTCAAGTAAGCAATCATATAAAATGATATTTTTTTAACTTTGATAATGGTGTCATCCATTGTTTAAAAAAGAGTCGTCTTAGAACATGACTTGAAAAAAAATACTGTTAAGCAATAAACTGAACCATTTTTAAAAATTTAAGGGTAAGATGAGCCAAAAATAGTTTAGTCCATTAAGTGACCCAATGAAATAGATCAATGGAGTAGAATGTATCTTTGTTAAATATATAGATACTGAAATATTAATATGCAATTTCCTGATAGTTTAATCTAAAAGTGTTGGATATATTCACAAACCCAAGGGCAGTCCTGTCTTTGACTGAACAAAGAGGTTGGTATGTTTCCATCTTCCCGACCAAACGAACTCCCGCAGCCCTTCTGCTAGCATTAATCTTCTTCATTTCTATCAGTGGTGTCCATCCTATCAGCTGAATAAAGATAAAATATAGATAAATAAAATACATCTACATGTGCAGGGCAAACATAGAATACATCTTTTATTTTTTGACACATGCATATACGTGGGAAAGTATATATGACTAATGATAATGGCAGGGATTCTACATCTCACCTACTTTCATTATAGATTTTACATATTAGCCCCTTGAACTCCTTAATATTACATAACAACTAAATCTAAGTGAATAGGCAATATAAAATTAAATTAAATTGGGTATTCCCTACAGAAAAAGGTTGGTAGCTTATACATTTCATGGAAAATATATTATTGCTTATTTTAGGCAATATTATGAAATTCTCCTTTTATCTATATGTAGCGATGCATAAACATTTAGCTAGTATACGGTGAAAACCACATCTTAATTGTAAAATTGAAAACTTTTTTACAGAAGTACTAAGAAAATCTCAAAAATAATCGCATATATGTTGGTAACACATGAATAAACAACCCTACAAAGTTGAATGAAAAAACTCAGCTTCGTCAATAAGACATAAAATTAACAAATCACAGAGGAAGAACATTGTTCCTGTTTTTTTTGTCCTTTTCTCCTATATATGTTTCTCAATTTGAATATCTCAAACAATGATATAAAAGTTGTCAAATTTTTTTAGAACAAATCTCAAAAATAGCCAACCATGCAAAGTTCCAAAGATAAACTCAACTTTACTTTTGAGATTCAAAAATGAGAAACATAGGAGAAAATAAAGCTAAGTGTTATTCATCTGTGATTTTTTGATTTCATATCTCATTTACAAAGTTGAGTTTATGCATTTAACTTTGTAGGATTGTTTATTTACAAATTACCTACTTTTTTGAACTTTTTGAAACTTCTATAAAAAGGTTTCCATGTTCTCACTCGTGGTTTCCAACATATATACTTTTCCCTAGGATATATGCAATTGACTAAATTGCATTAGCGGTATACAAACTTTAGGGCCTATTTAGGGGAGCTTCTAACTACTACAGCTTCTTCCAAAATCAAAAGCTCCCCCAAACAGTTCAGCTTTTGATCTAGATTCTGAGAAGCTGTAGTTGTAGACTCCAGAAAATGAACTAGAAGTCAGAAGCTGGAAAGCCCAGCTTTTCCAGATTCTCAGAAGCTGGCTACCAACTAGCTGCTTCTCAGAATTTTAAGCTCCCCCAACAAGCACTACAGTACGAACTTGTACAATACTCATTTTGGTACATGAACTTATCTAATGTGTACGAAACAAGGCCAAAAGGATGCGTCATAGTCAATTTTATTAAGTTAGACACCTATTAGAATATGCGACGTGTGTACCCACGAGGTGGACATGAGACATGCTATATTTGTAAAATATTTGTAAACTTGATTTGTGCTTTAATATTGTTTGTCTCACCCTTTGCATTATTTGTCGGTTTTTTATATCTTTCTTCGTGCAATTTTTAGGCCTTATTATACCTTTTACTGAATAATTGTATATGTATGTATTGTTCTTCTCACATATGTGTTTATGTAGCATTGTAATTAGTACTTAAATCAGCAGGATTAGCCTTTTATTGTTTTCTTTTGCCTTGGTTCGTACGCACCTGACAAATTCATGTACCAAACTAAACATTTTACATGTTTATGTACTATATTACATCCACCTGATAAGTCCGTGCACCACCGATACAATTTACTCTACGCAATTGGTTTGGGATAGCATGCGATGGAAAAAGGTTGCTTGCCTATAATACAGAAATATTAGAAGTTGAAAATTTACAGGCATTTTCGCACCTACTTGGTGGCCCCATAATGGTCTTTTGAAAACTAGAGCATAGTCTAAAAACAAACCGGTCTATTGGCATTTGGAAGGCCAAAAACTTGGAAATGGTATATACATATATAGACATTTTATGGTGACATGTAAACATCTTATGTCTTTTTTTTTTTCATAGAGACACATTATTCCTATGACACTTTATTCTTTTTGACGTGAATATGTAATTTGTGATCAAATTAAGCCGCATCACATCATTTTTTTTTTTGCTGAATTAGTTCGTGAGCATTATTGAACTATTGAAGCAACCCTTTTGTGTGAGTTCCGATCCACTAAAATAACTTTTTTTTTAATACATGTTAGGGGTGATCAAGTGACCCAACTAAAAGATCGAGTACTGGAATTCCCATCTTAAAATGATATTTTTATAGGCCATTTTGAGAAGGTGGGAAGTTGCACATTTATTTTTGTTGTAAATTTTAGTACTTTACTATGCAGTGTTGAGATGATCTACAGTACTTATATAGCATTATATTGCCCTATGGCCCAACAAAAAAAAACATACAGAAGATAATAAATGCTGTGTTTTACTCTTCCTGTGTTGTTTTATTGAGTTACTTTATATCCGTTTCTAAGCTGTCAAGCGATTATAGATCCGTATATAATCTGCAGTAAACAGGTCATACTAATTAACAGGGATGAATATATAACAACCTTTTGAGGGAAGATAAATTAATTTGTGAAATTAAATCCTAAAACTACTCAATATTATTTTTACCGAACCACTGCAGAAATGGTCCGCAGTAAAATTTTTATATAAAACAAACAAAGTATTTAGAGCGATTTAATCCATGAACTTAAAACCGACTTCTTGTGATTATTAAGCCTGTATATCAAAATAATGAGATCATTTTTCAAAAAAAAAAAGAAAGCCTTCAAGATTATACTCTAGGTGCAATGTTCTGAAATATAAGACCATTTCTTTGTTTCCGTATATTCTAGGTACTTCCTCCGTTTCAAGTTATGAGACGTTTTCACTTTGGTCAAAGCTAAATTGCTTTATGTTTGATTAAGTTTGTAGAAAAAATAATAATATTTTTAACTCAACACAATTTTTTTATGAAAATATATTCAATTATTAATTTAATAAAACTAATTTGGTATTATAAATATTACTATATTTATGCATAAACTTAGTCATATTTGAAGTAGTTTGACTTTGATCAAATTCAAAACGTCTTATAACCTGAAACGGAGGGAGTAGCATATAAAACTTTCTCCACGAATAAGCATTCTTGCAATTTGTGGGGATCAATGATAACCCATCTTAGCCACCACAATAACCAAAGTTAGGGCCTGTTTAGTTCGCGAAAAGAAAATTTTTGGGTGTCACATCGGATGTTTGACTGGCTGTCGGAAGGGGTTTTCGGACACAAATAAAAAAACTAATTTCATAACTCGCCTAGAAACCGCGAGACAAATCTTTTGAGCCTAATCAATACATCATTAGCACATTGTGGGTTACTGTAGCACTTATGGCTAATCATGGACTAATTAGGCTCAAAAGATTCATCTCGCGATTTCCCCCCTAAACTGTGCAATTAGTTTTTCTTTTAATCTATATTTAATGCTTCATACATATGTCTAAAGATCTTATGTGATGTTTTTGGGAAAACTTTTTGAGAACTAAACCAGGCCTTAAGGCCAAAAGCAGCTACCTTATCCATTTTGATTAAACGTGATCTGTTAGGCCATTCACAATGCAGTGTTTCATTACACTGTTTCCCAGACGCCACATCAGCTGAAACGAAGATGAAACAAGTTGAAACGTACAATGAAACAGACCTTCTCAATGCTGTGTTTCACTCTAGCGTTTCCAATGCAAATTCAAGGCATTTAATTCCAGCCACATAGTGGGATCGTATGTAACACAAACGTGTGTAGCCACTTGAACACAAAACAAAATACATGCATTCAGCACAGATAGGTACGATTGTTCACTTGATAAATTTAAATGACCATTCAACCAAGTTCACTACATAGCAAAGTTTAGATAACTGAATAGATGTTAACTCGAGGTGAAATATGACAGAACTAAGCTACAAATGACGATGACAAGCAGGTAACTGGAGGCAAATTGACGATGCACCCATAGATTTCATTGATTCTTTCACCCTGTACAAATGAAAGTAGTTCAGACATGACAAACAGGTTTACACATGCAGTAGATAAATATTGGAGGATCACAATTGCATAGTAAAGAAAATAACACATGTTCTAACACCCTGTAGCTACCAAAAAAGAGAAAAACATAGTGATTTGATTCTCAGAACTTACATTGTGAAGACAACAGACTGGAACCTGCAAATAGATTTTTTTTTAGGGAACCTGTAAATAGATTGGAACCTGCAGAGATTAAAAAATATGGCGATGAGCATTCAGAAATTTACAAGTGGACCATAGATATATAAATTACAAGAAAAATAAAATAATTACATTTACTGATTCTCAATTTCCAGTTCTATGTGCAGCACCACCAAACTTATTCCAAATGTGTTCCACCAAATCTTTCTTAAGTCGGTTATGAGCCGCTCGATCTCGGATAGAAATATCTTTTTCTAAAACTCTATCAAATGGTGTGTTCTGTTCAGGAGAGAACTCAGGTTCCTGAACGGTTGATGAACTAGGAGGCACATTTAGATCTAAATCTTCTTCAATAATTCTGGTTTCCTTCTCATCTTCAACTATCATATTGTGAAGTATGATGCAAGCTAGAACAACATCTCGCAGTACACCTCGATCATATAGACGAGCTGGTCGTTTTAAGATGCAAAATCTTCGCTGCAATACACCAAAGGCTCTCTCGATATCTTTTCTTGCCCCTTCTTGCATATCTGCATACAATTTCTCCTTTTCAGTGTTTGGGAGTCGTATTGACTTAACAAACACTGCCCATTCAGGGTAGATTCCATCAGCAAGAAAATACCCAGTATTGTATTGATTCCCATTTACCATGTACTGGACTCTAGGAGCTTGTCCTTTGAGCTCCTTGATAAATACAGTAGATTGGTTCAATACATTGATATCATTGTTGGAACCCGCTGCTCCAAAAAATGCATGCCAAATCCAAAGATCATGCGATGCCACAGCCTCAAGAATCAGGGTTGGCACTTTCTGATCTCCACGAGTGAACTGACCCTTCCATGCTACTGGGCATCTTTCCCAATGCCAGTGCATGCAGTCAATGCTGCCGAACATTCCAGGAAAACCACGTTTCTCACCAAGTTGGAGAAGCCGTTCGGTATCTTCCATGGTGGGGCGCCTAAGATACCTCTCACCAAACACATCTTGAAGACCTTTGACAAAATTCTTCATTGCCTCCATTGCTGTAGTCTCTCCTATCTTCAGATATTCATCTAGTTCATCTGCGCCACTACCAGTAGCCAACTGGCGAATAGCTGCAGTACACTTTTGCAGTGGACTGAGTCCTTTCCGATTAACAGCATCCACCCTTTGTGTGAAATACACTGACCACTGGCCTAATGCCTCAACGATGCGAAGAAAAAGTGGCCTAGACATACGAAATCTTCGACGAAAAATTTTGGAAGGGTAAAGAGGATTTTCTGAAAAGTAATCATTCACTAGTTGCTGATGTGCTTCCTCTCGTGGCCTCTTGATGTGCTTCCTCGGATGATGTCGATGGTCAGAAGCCTCGTTTTGAAGACCTTCTATAGTGGACTGTACTACCACCGTGGCTTCAGTGAGAAGATCATCTATGATCTCATCCTCAGCCAGGAACTCATCCAACAAGTTCACTGGAACTTGACTTCCATCAGTATTTTGCTCAGACATCTTTGAAGAAGAGAGAAACAGTAAAGATAAAAGGGAGGAGGTCTTCGTATGAGAAAAGAGGGAATGAGTTTCTGAGAGGAGTAGAGAGATGGCTAAACTCTGCATAAATAGGCGCCCACTGCATGTGAAACTGACTGCCTAGTGCAGCATTCACACTGCATGTGAAACTGACTGCATAGTGCAGCATTCATACTATATGTGAAACTGACAGCAATACATCATTCACACTGGGTAATTAATATAACTAAATATTGCACCATTCACAGATATGCAGCTCAGATTTGACAAATTCGTGATATGCAGCTGACTGCATAGTGCAGCACAGATATACAGACAATATAACTAAATATTGCAGCATTCTTTAATTATTATAAATAATAGTGCAGCTCAGATTAGATTAGATATCTAACCTTAGTCAGCAAATAACTTTTCCTCCAGCTTTTGTAATGCCTTGTCTCGGCGAGCCTTCTGTTCTTCAGACATGTTACTTGTATCTTGAGTGAGCAGGGAATTGTATACCTCAAACATCTTTGCTTCTTTTTGCTGTTCTGCTGCCTTCAAATTTACGTTTGAAATGTGAATCTGTGCTTCAGTGACCTTCTCACGCTCCAGCTTCCGATCTTGCGTCACTTTGATAATTTTTTCAATATTGTCCCCTAGGATGACAATTCCTTCTGACATACTGTCCTTCTTGCGTTTTCCATTGCGCTCGGCTTGTGCTGCTTCTCTACCAATGGGACGCTTTTGTTCATCTGGAATATCAACCACTTCAGCCTTGTTTTTGTCCTTCTCAATCATTGCACACCACTTGGGCTCTTTTCTCAGTATCTTCCACCAATGCACAAGTGCAAAAGGCTTTCCAAATGTATTTGCATACATCTGTTGTGCCTCCTTCTCCAGCATGTCATCGTCATATCCGCTTGTATTCATTTGAGTTACCTTAGTCCAGTAATCATTGAATTCTCCAATCGATGATTTGAGGCGTGACCAATGAACCTTCAATTGATTTATTTCCCTTGTACGCTTCCCATTCCCTTTTCTGTTGAACTCATCAGTAACCTCTTTCCAAAACGTATCACCTTTCTTTTCATTCCCATGAATGGGATCTTTAGAAGCATTCAACCAAGCACTAGCCAATCTCTCTTCCTCATCATGAGTCCAATATCTCAAACTTCTCTTTTTAGCACTTGCATCATTGATTGCATCTTCATGAATATCAATTTGGACTGTATTGTTAGCTGCAGCTTGGGGTGTTGGTGGTGGAGTAGACATTGTGTTGGTAGTCTGACCAACAAGGTGAAAATTTTCACCTTCTTGTGGCTGCGGCAGACAGTTCTGTTGGAGAAAATTTACGAAGCCTTCTGTAGGATACAACCTGAAAACATAAGAAGCAAATCCAATTGAAACCGATGGCAGCATAAGAAAATCAAACATAGTAAGTTCCAGAAGATGATCCTGACATAGTAAGTACTGACATACTAACAGGTTACTTAAGCATCATACTGATGATCCTGACATAGTAGCAGTGCTGACATAGATTTTTTTTAATAAGATCCTGACATAGTTCAGTCAAGCAAGTACTACAGTATGTGTAAGGAATAATTCAGTCAAGCAACAAGTTCAGTCAAGCATATATGTCAAGTAACAAGTTTAGTCAAGCATACAGAAGACCATGTAGGGCAAGCTGTTGCTGTGGTTGCAAAGAAGACCATATATATCAGTACTAACAGGTTATTTGGTTAGCTATGACGACAGCACAGAGTGTAGGGCAAGCTGTTGCTGTGGTTGCAAAGAAGACCATGTCTGCATTCCATACAGAAGGCTAAAAATATATACCAATGTTAGGATGATACCCTTGGCATTTACACTCAAAGCATTTGTTACCAATGTACTGACAAGGAGATATTTAACAAGCTTTACGTATGTGAATTACATGTTGTACAGTACACTGTCCAGATTGCAAACTGAATCTTTTGCTTTCAATTTCTGTTATACAAGCCGCAATCCATACTGCATACTGAATACTGAATTTTCACTAACAAAGTATTACTGCAATCCATACTGAATACTACATTTTTTCTATTCATTACTCAGGCATATATCAAATTACCAATGTACTGACATACTGATTCTAACAAATTTCATTGAGCATAAACAGGAACTAATTACTAATGCATGAAGAAGAGAGTCATATCATGTATCATAGTGTACAGTGAATAATCTGTGACAAGGAGAAAATACCATGAACTTGGGCCTTGTTGGTTTCCTTGCAGAAAAGCAAAATTGGGGGGTACAGAGCCCCATCCTGCTCCTTGCGGTGGCCATGGGGGCATGGTTGACATCGGTACAGCAGGGGATGAACTGGGGGCAGCAACAGCAGGACTTGACGATGGAGTAGGCGGCTGAACTGTTGCCGGCGATGGAGCTTCAGGAGGGGAACTTGCAGGCAGCGGTGGCTGAGCTGTTGCCGGTGATGGAGCAGGCGCCGACGACCTCTTCAGGCCCAGCTGCTTGCCCCCACGCTTATTCCCTCCTCTGCCGGCGGCGCTCAGACGGGATCCACCACCTCCTTGTGGATCCATGGCTGCTGGACGGCGGACGGCGGCAGATGGACAGGATTCACCACCTACTTGTGGATCCAGCTCCGCAATCTCCGCTCGTGGTTCTTGCGCTAGGGTATGGGACGGACGGGGCGATGGGGACTGAGTCTGGCGCTAGGGTTGCAGGTGAGATTGGGGAAAAAAGCTTCGAGCCAGTGCTTTGGGGGCGGGAACATGGAGGTGCTGCGCGGGAAGATGGGGGACTCGCGCGGGAAGAATCCGGCGATGCGCGCGAAGATGGCGAAGAGCAGCGCTCGCACGGGATCCCGGAGGTGAAACGATGAACTCTCAATGCTGTTTCACCCCGTTTCAGCGACCTGGGAAACGGCGCTATCTCGTGTCACCATGGTGAAACGAGTTTACTCTCTCTCCTACCCATTTCATGCAAATATTGCTCTTTTGCTGACTTGTCACTGTATTAAATGCGCATGACACTCAAATGAAACACCCATTGTGACTGGCCTTACTAGCTAGGACATTTGTCCAACGGTTAGCTTGTTTGGCACGAGAAGTGGATTAGGAGTTTGGTAGGGATTGGTTGTGAGGGAGTTTTATTTTTCTCCACATCCCTTGCTTGGTATTAGTAGAGATAAGAATTATAAGGAGTTCGTTATTCTTAGCAGGAGAATTTCCTTCCATTTATTTGTATCTACCCATGTATTAAAAAGGTGAGTTTGCTACTATATATTAAACTTTATTAATTCCTAATCCCTGCTAAAACATAATTTCACGCTCACTACCCAAACAATAGACAACAACCTTTACCACCCCTCAACTTCCATTTCCTATTAACGATTTTCCCCCAGCAGAGACGTACGCCACAAGCAATACTGACAGTACTAAGGTGGTGTTTGGATCAGGGACTTAACTTTAGTCCCTGTATTTAGACACTAATTTAGAGTGTTAAATATAAACTACTTACAAAACTAATTACATAAATGAAAGCTAATTCGCGAGACAAATTTTTTAAGCCTAATTAATCTATAATTAGATAATGTTTAATGTAGCATCACATAGGCTAATCATGGATTAATTAGGCTCAAAAGATTCGTCTCGTGAATTAGTCCAAGATTATGGATGGGTTTTATTAGACCCTGTTTAGATGGGACTAAAACTTTTAAGTCCCTATCACATCGGATGTTTAAAAATTAATTATAAATATTAAACGTAGACTATTAATAAAACCCATCCATAATCTTGGACTAATTCGCGAGACGAATCTATTGAGCCTAATTAATCCATGATTAGCCTATGTGATGCTACAGTAAACATTCTCTAATTATAGATTAATTAGGCTTAAAAAATTGTTAAGCGAATTAGGTTTCATTTATGTAATTTGTTTCGTAAATAGTCTATATTTAATACTCTAAATTAATGTCTAAATACAGGGACTAAAGTTAAGTCCCTGGATCCAAACACCACCTTAATAATCTACGTTTAATATTTATAATTAGTGTCCAGACATCCGATGTGATAGGGATTTAAAAGTTTTAGTCCCATCTATACAGGGCCTAAGGCACCCCAAAAAAAGGCTTGTTTGAAGCGCAAGAATTTTGTAGGATATATTTAGGAATCAGTTCAATTCACGTGAAATTCTTTTAAAGGCCTGGTTTAGTTCCCAACTTTTTCTTCAAACTTTTATTTTTTCCATCACATCAAAACTTTCCTATATATACACACAAACTTCCAACTTTTCCATCACATCGTTTTAATTTCAATCAAACTTCTAATTTTAGCGTGAACTAAACACACCTAAAATCTAGGAGTATTTCTTAGAGAAAAAGGCCTAATTAAATGGAATACGAGCGGGGAGGGCCTAGAAGGGGCTATATATAGATCAACCTGCAGGATGTCTGAGGCGATGTTCTCTTCTTGGGACGAAAGCAGAAACGGGATGCCTTTCCTTGCATCTTCTTCCTCTGTTGCCCCATCTTCTTCCTGATCTGTTGCCATAACTCGCCCATCTTTACCTTTTGATCGCTTGCTCAAAACAAGGGCAGGAGCTCTACCTAATGTGAATGACGAAAACGGGAATGCTTGAGATCTCCCCATAATAGCGTAGGGCATGTTAGTACATGATCGTATCGTGGGCGTCGTCGTAGCATAGCACTGCAGTGCAAATCGACCCGGACTTTGATCATTTGGTTGGAACCTGTAGTAGTACGTTCTAGTGGATGTTATCGTAGTGGAATGCATCTTGTAGCTAGTATTAGCTAATTATAGGCTGTACTCTGATGGCAAGAACCCTAGCTAGCCCAATGCAGTATATATAGTAGTAGTAGTAGCTAGAAGAGCAGTGCTTCTGTCACCTTGGTTAATTAATTCAGCACAGAATAGTTGATCGATGCATGATGCAGCGACAAAGATGGTGAGAGAAACGGTAACGTATAGTTGACGAGAGGAATTAATGTTGCTTCGTTAGAAATTTTCTCCTTGAGAATATTATAGTTTTATCTAGTAATAGTACGGGCAAACTACTAGCTATATACGGATTATGATCATGCAAGTGTATATCTTACGGAAATAAATATGTGTGTACTCGTGGCAGCGATTTTTTCCACGATCGAGAGTAGCTAGCTTCTAAGGAATCAATTGAAGTAACCACTAGAGCTCGCCGTTGTCGTTCCTCTCTCTGTCGGGACCACGTTGTTGTTGTTCTCACTATTCTGGTTTTTTCCTCATTGCCAACCGCCACTATCTATGAACGAGTCACATCGTGGGACACGTCCGACCACCTTACTCACTGCCTTCTCTGCTCTCGCTGACGCCTGCATGGATGCATTCCCGCCGCCATCCGCACGCTACCACGGCATCCCCGCCGCCTACTGCCTCCTCCCCCACGTCTAGCTTCAGATCTGGCGGCGGCCGACGCGAATCCAGTGATGCCCGAGGTCGCAGACTCCACCGCCGCCGCCTTCGCACCAGAGGACCACACCCTGTCGTCGTTGCCATCCCCGTCACCTTCAGCCACCACCGCCTGGCGTAGCTCACCCCTGCCTTCGTTGTCACCATCCCCGTGGCCATTGCCATTGCCGTCCCCGCCGCCAGCCGCCAGCCGCCACCCCGCCAGATCCGGCCGAAGCAGCGCGGGCCGCCGCCGCCATGGGCGGCTCCCCTGGCCGCCCGAACGCAAGGTCGGTGAGAGGCCCCGCCATCATCGTCCTTGCGGCCGCACGGCTTTGCCGGTAACCGCTCGGGCGACAGCGAGGCGGAAGAGGAAGGAGGGGGAGAGGGGGCGGCTAGGTCATCGCCTCCCAAGCCGCCCATGGGGAGGGCGACGCGAGAGTAGGAGTGCTAGTTCTTATAAAAGAACAACTGGATAGTTTAAATGATAAAGGTCATCTTTTACAAGTATTATATGTTGCTATAGTTGAAAAAAAAATTAACTCTAAAAGTTGTTATATTCTAAGAACATAGAGATCTTTAAAGAATTTCATCGTTTTGGCAATGTCTCAAATTGAGACTAATATAGTGCATTGCTCCTAAACAAAATCATCTTTTTAGTGGACCTAAACCACTCCCGTAGGTCAATTGCTAAAAAAGGTAGTTTGGGACATAAGACTCAATTTTTTCCCTGATTATACATAAGACACAGATAAACATAGGTGGATGTAGCGTGGGTTCTGGAGGGACTCAAATTCCCCTACCCCGTGGCAGATTTTGTATCCGAGGGTAGAACAATATTACACCTACGACTCAACCAGTATATCACTAGTGCTTCTATTAGGTAATCACAATTAATTTCGGTGCCTCCTGTTGCTAGAACAAAGATTTGGAGTGTCCTAAGAAAAAAGAAATGATAACAGGAAATAATGCAGGTTATTTATTTATTTATTCAACTTGATAAGCATGGTCCAATCTCTTGAGGTACGTATTGCACTACTTTTAGGCAAATGGTGTGTTTACTGTCGGTGTGTCATGTTTAGATTAGCACCAATTGGATCGATCCTCTGGTCAGAGCTTTGCTCCATCAAAATTCATGCACCAAAGTTTTAGGATATATACGGCGTAATTATATGCGCAAGTGACAAGTATGAATTAATTGTCCATGTAATTACTTTTTCTTAGCTGATGAATCCATCTGATTACTTAACAGATGCAAAATCAACATTTGCTGGTGCTCAATTATGCAATCATTCACATGTCATCTGCTGTATTTAGTACTCCCTCCGTTTCAAAATGTTTGAACACCGTTGACTTTTTAGCCCATATTTAACCATTTGTCTTATTCAAAAAATTTAGATAATTATTTATTCATTTTATATCATTTGATTCATTATTAAATATACTTTCATGCACACATATAGTTTTACATATTTCACAATTTTTTTTAATAAGACGAACGGTCAAACATGTGCTAAAAAGTCAATGGTGTCAAACATTTTGAAACGGAGAGAGTAATAATCTTCAACTTTGATAGGTATAGGGCAAGTGTTAAAATACATCCTAACTTGCAATTTCGTGTGTATAAGTAATCTGTCAGTATAATCGCTAACTCATGCTTCGTTTCAAAAGAAAGAAAATAAAGGAGGAAGGAAGAATATTGTCCTGACTTGCACGCTACAGTAATACAATTACCTAACCGATATAGTATGTCAATGCACATGGACATGCAAATTAAATGCATCTGCAAATTGCTGTGTAGACTGAGACTCTGGGAGGAGCTAATGACTTTTCGGTTACAAGAAACGTTGCTAGACTTGTTCCAATAACATCTTCATATGATGATTGATACCAGCGACTTCCTTTCTAAAAATGATTTTTAGTAGCAGCATGTAATTTAATTTGTTTTGAGACTGTGAGAAAGTGCATGTACAAACTACAGGCCTTTATTCTCTTTATATGTGTGATAGGGATACTTCCATGTAGGCGTGGGTACGTATGAGTACGGTATGTGTGTGAAAGTACTGGCGTGCTATGTTACTGGATACGAAGATACCGGGATACAGCATTTTTCAAAATATATGGATACAGATATACGTCTATATATATACTCTATAATAAATAATGAAAAAGTCAATTAACTCTTATCAAGAAAATTGCAAAAGTGATTGAAGCCCAAAATAATGAACATGCCGACTGGCAACATACCAATAATTCAGAGATAACTAAAACAACAATGCATCAAGCTTAGAATTGTAAAGCTTTGCCCAGCCCAGCAATACTGCAGGAGTATTGGATCTCCAAAAGACACTATGGCTTTCTTGTACTATTCGGTGCCCAAAATCACAGGAATGATGTTCTCGCCCAACATCAAGATCCTGGATGCATTAGCACTCTTGAGCTTCCAATTTCATAATCTACGGGATCGATTTCTGAAATAATATGGCATTTTTTTTGTTCTCAAAACAGGAAAGGAGAAGAAAAACATAGCAAAATGGAGCGTGTGGTCTGAATTCTGAAGCAAATCTCTTTGCAGTACAGCAAAGGAGAGCTGCACCAAGACATTAGAAGGTCATATTAGCACATTCCTCCCTTACATCTGCAAAGAGATCAGAGCTCATGTATCTTTCACCACCACTCGGGAACATCGTAACAATCATCTTACCCTTGTTCTCCTCTCTAGCTGCAATCTGGTAAAATTCTTCAACAAGTCAGGTATCACGAAACGCAACGCAAGCAGGATTTTATGACTTGGTAAGATCATCGGTTTTTACCTTGATGCAAGCAGCTACATTTGCACCAGAAGATATGCCAACAAGAAGCCCCTCTTCCTTTGCAAGCCTTCTTGCCATTGCCATGGATTCCTCTGAGCTTACGGTCACAACTTCATCGATGATGGACCTGTCCAAAGTTTTCGGTATGAAACCTGGCCCAGTGCCTTGAATCTTGTGTGATCCTGGTGAACCACCTGAATACAATCAAGAAACAGTATTTTTACGCACATCGGAAAAGTAGGAAAACAGAATTCCGAGTATGCTGAATGGTCACATTTGGAGACTTGTCTTACAAAAAATAAATTTTACAAACTTCAGTGAATACAATCATTATGTTTGGAAAACTGGAACAGTCCCTACACAGAGAGAGCACTGGATTACCTGAAATTACAGCACTTTCTGAAGGTTCCACGCACACTATATTTATAGATGGATTTTTGATCTTCAGGTACCTTCCTACACCTGACAATGTGCCTCCTGTTCCAGCTGCGGTTACAAAGAAATCAACTTTGCCGGCTGTGTCCTTCCAAATTTCAGGTCCTGACATTTTCAGAAGATGAAAATGAAGCACCACCTCGATAGACAATAGATGATAAAAAAACATTTATGATTTCTGAAACATTGTAGTGTCGATTTCCATGAATAAATAAATAAATACCAGTCCATTTGAAATGTGCCTCTGGATTTGCTGGGTTGGTTGCTTGATTAAAACAATGATAATTAGGCATGATCTTCATGAGATCTTCCACTTTGTCCATCGCACCCTTGTACCCACCTGCAGGATCTGCAGCAAATGACAACATAGATTATTTAACACTTGTCAGAGAACACTGAAGATGTAAGAGAAAGAGTACTACTAGTAATTAGTTTAGCTATATAGGAGTATATGTAACAATATAAGCACAAGAAATGGCATAAAATTTATTCCATTCAAACTGAAAATATTTGTCAGAGTTAAAAAACTAATTGAGGCATTGTCTTTAAGTGCTTGTTGATGGTTTTTAATCTCTAACCATTCCTAGGAGCAGAGATCCTGGTTGTCACCTGTTAATATCAGTTCAGCACCCAAAAACCTCAATAGCATCTGCTTGTCAGGTGAATATCTAGCGGGCATAACAGCAATAAACCTGTAGCCTTTCTGAATAGCAACCAATACCAAACCGATACCAAGATTGCCACTGGTTGGTTCAATCAGTGTCGTAACACCGGGAGTAATGAGGCCTTTCTCCTCTGCATCTTCAATCATACTGCAGAAAAAAAAAAGAAGAAGAAATTTGCAAATGCCAGATCTCAGGTTGACCACATGGTTTGCATAGCTATCTATTGTGTGCTGAGATGATATATAGTAAACAGTTTCCTCTGGAAAAAAAATGATTTGATCTAAGAGAAAAAAAAACAGCATATATAATTGAACAAATGTAGTGCATAAATCTGCATTAGCTCACCTGAGAGCAGTTCTGTCCTTGACCGAGAACAGGGGTTGGTATGTTTCCATCTTCCCGATCAAACGAGTTTGGATGCCTTCTTTCTTGGGGATGTTCTTCATCTCAATCAGTGGCGTCCAGCCTATCAGCTGAACAACAAGATTAATTACAACGCTTTTATTTTTTTTAACTCGAGCTAGGGTAATCTTGAACGAAATCTTCACTCATAGCAAGTTTAATAGGAGAGCTAACTAATAGGTATAAATTCATATTAGAGTAAACATGTATAATGTATAATAGATTAGTTATAGGTTTTGTTCTATTGTTTTCCTCCTTTCTTTTTTTCTCGCTGTGAATTTAATTTATTTATCTTGAAGCAAGTGTAAAGTTATCTCTTGGGTGAGAGCAAATGCTCCATATATGTTTATGGGTAATTTTATCATCTTTAAATGTACCTGGAGGTACCATATTTTATAGTGTAAAATTTGGTGTGCAATTTTACCATCCAACTTTTGATACCTCGATGTACCACATTTTGCACACAAAATAGTACCTCAAGGTACCAAAAAATTTAGCATAAAATTTAGGTACATTAATGAATTTTCTCAAGAACTGTAAAATTTCTCTATATTTATAGTTCCCTTATAGCTAACTATTAAACCTACTCTAAATGGATTCCAAATCCTGAATTGTACACCCCAAAAGACTGAACTAACTTGAATACTCCCTCTGAATTATATTATAAGTTGCTTTGCCTTTTTTTTTTACCCTAATTTCTTTAGGTTTGACTAAGTCTTTAGAGAAATTTAGCAGCATCTATAACACCAAATTAATTTTATTAAATATAACATTGAACATATTTTGATAATATGTTTGTTTTGTATAGGAAATATTGCTATCCTTTTTATAAACCCTGTAAAACAAAAAAGAATATAAAAAAAATCAAAGCAACTTAAAATATAAAACGAAGGGAGAAGCAAACAACTGTTTCGAATTCTAAACCAGAGAAGAGGGATTTTACCTGGGCGATGTTGGAGGCGATGGTCTCCTCCCCCACGGCGGAGGAGAGCAGAGACGGGATACCCGTCCTCCCCTCCTCCACCTCAGCCGCCATTGCTGCTACCTCTCTTGTAGTTCCAGAGCAGCATGGATAAGAATAAGATCGATGGCTTCCAATCTTTATTCTTCCATGTTTGAAACGTTGCCTTTATATTAATGGCCCAGCTCTGATCGTTTTTTGTCGCTACCTCGCTGACTCTTTTGTGGCCGGGCCGGCCGGCCGAACGTTTAGATTTTATCTTTGTCCTCTACTTTACCAAATTCTAATCATTTTTAGTTTTGTACTAGTGTGTGAGAGATGGGCTAAAAAAAATAAATTTTGAGCATTTTGCATCGAATGACAAATGCTAATTCAGCAATCGGTTTTCAGGCTCTGAACTGGGATGAAGAACAAGGCTCCACGGGACGAGGAATCCAGATCACACTTGACTGCAGTGTCGTCTCGACGTAGTAAGTCGCAATCGTTTTTCACCTTTCAGAAATTCCCAGCGTTTCAGAGTTTTCAGTCACGTAACTGTTGCTGAATATATCTTGATCTCTCGCGGGCGCTCATACCTCATGCCTGAAGACGAGTGTCAGTGAGGTGGTACTCCAATGTTGTAGTGGTAGAGAGCATATTTGTTCATTCGGTTCAGAAATCTGCATTGGATGTTGTGATTTTGTGCTGATATATGTTTCTCATGATCTTTAACTGGATGGCTGATTATATATGGTCATTGCTGCACAAGAACACACATCCTGAAAAACCGGCGTTGCCGGAGCCTGTGATGAATTGATCCAACGGTCCAGACGCCCCAGAAAGAGGCAACAAGAGGGCAGCAAATGGATCAGGGACAGATTCAGAGTGTAAGTTCATGCTCATCTGACAGGAAGTGGTATTTGCATATTGTAGCGGTTCTTGCAGGCTAACATATATAGAATCTGATGTTTTACATCCTTGAATTCATTCATTCCCCAGACATTGTGTTGGACCTGGAGCGTGGCAGTAAAGAGGCAACAAGAACAATTTCCTGGATCTTACATCATACGACCGTACATCAGTTCTATTACAAAAATGGGTTTCGCTTTTGCTTACCCAAAAATAAAATATGACAGGAGATTCGAGTCAGGTCCTAGAACAAATTAGGGTCAGCTCTAGTTGCCATACCATCCTGCCTTGGTGTAAGCAAACAAAGATATGATAATGTTCTCTCCCCAACCTTCAAATGTACATATGCCCTATGGTCACTCAAGTGCACCAGTGCGCCTATAATCTCTGGAATGAGCAGATGTTCAAGGGCTTCAAGCAAGCTGTAACAAATACTCCCTCCCTTTCAAAATGTTTGACACCGTTGATTTTTTAGCACATGTTTGACCGTTCGTCTTATTCAAAAACTTTTGTGAGATATGTAAAATTATATGCCTACATAGAAATATATTTAACAATGAATCAAATGATAGGAAAAGAATTAATAATTACTTGAATTTTTTGAATAAGACGAACAGTCAAACATGTGATAAAAAGTCAACGGCGTCAAACATTTCGAAACGGAGGGAGTACATGATTTGTCTGTCTGTCAGAATGTTATCGTGCATTTCAACCTATGACCTGCAAATTGAGAAAAAGGTAAGTTAAGGCTTATAATCTGTGGAATGTTATGGTGCAATTTAACCTATGACCTGCAAATTTCCTTTTAAAAATGTTGGTAAGGCATATTCCGGTGACTGTCCATACTTATAGCCATTAAGGTTCAAGATCTGACCTGATTCACCAAGGGGAGTGCATAACGTTCCCATTCTGTCGACCATTTTGAAGATGACCCAGTATTCAAGGCACCAACCTTGAGGGATTTCAACTCATCGCATTCTTCTGGAAACCCCTTAAAGAGCATCTGAATGGATTTGCGATTGCAACAATTAACCATATAATTTAGTCACAGCACTTTTTACAAGTATTTAAAAAAAGAATATAAAGTATGGAAATAAATAATTAGAAGTGATCATCACCGTAAGTTCATCGGCGAGCTCAGAAGATGTTGAGAAAAGAAGTCCATTATTATTTACTTTTACAAGCTCGTCAATGCTGCACATTGCCAAAAAAAAAAAAAGTGAGCAGAGACTTTTAATTCAAACAACATAAAGGTCAAAACCAAAACATAACAAATCAAACATATGGGAAACATGGGTTACCAGGAGAATGAAGCAGCACAAACTGGTAATCCACATCCAAACATATCAACCACCTAAAGCAAAATCATCTTAGTTACAAGCAGCAGATTAAAAATATGCCCATTTTTCCAACAGAACAGATGCTTACGAGTTATACCTTCATAGGTAGGTCTAGCCCTGAAGAGGATGTATGTAATGATACACCAAGATCAGCCGATCCTGCAATTATTCAAAGAATCAGCATTTGTGCTACAACATGGAAATCTTTTGGCAATCAACTAGTTTACCAAGCAAAAGAGGGTAGTCCTCTGACGCAAGCCACATGGTCCTGAAGGAAACACGCCTCAGTTTCAACCTCTTTATTTGCTCCTCATACTTCTTCCTATCAGGTCCTTTACCTTCAAAATTGATATTTATGGATATCAAAACAATACTCAAAAACTGGTTACTGGAGCTAATTAGCATAATGGACAAAGCCACAAACCAGTGATAATGAATAGCAGTCTTGGGTAGACAAATTGCTTCCCATTCTTAATATCAATCCAAAGTTTCCCCTCATCCATTGAATCATCTTCTCCTAAAGTTGCAGCAACGCGTCTATCGTACATAAGTGCAGCTTCCAAAAGTATGCTGAAATCTTCATCTGGTGTCCTGGAATATATGTGGCAAAGGAAAAGATTCTTAATTTTACTTTCATTTTAACCACATGTGCGGAGTATAAAAAATGATACAACTAGGATCACTCAGATCAAGAGAACAGACCAGCTTGTGCTGCTGACAACAAGAGCTGGTCTGTTAGGCTTCAAGAAAATTTCACCATCGACCCGGCCTGTAAATACAGTAGTGTTCCTGTCTTCCACTTCTTTCTCTGTGTTGTAAGAGAAAACAGTAGAAACTAGAAACTATATCAAAATGAAATTCACTTACAGCGATGAAATATTTAGAGTGGTTGAGAACATACCAATGGAGATGCAATCATCATTGCCCATAGCACTACAAATGGAATTCCCCAACCTGCTAAACAACTATTTCATGTCGAACGGTCAAATAGGCAGTATAGTAAAGATCAGGAAAGAAATGAAAACAGATGCTCACTTCATGTTTCTCTGTCAATGAAGCAGGATGGAAAAATTCAGGAGATTGATCATAAAGAACCGTTGCACTGAAATCCGACTGATTAAGTTAGTACAAACTGTAGCTAGCGACCTCCAAAAAAAAGTACTCCCTCTGTTCCATATTACAAGACATTTTGGGTTTGTCCCAAGTCAAACTTCTTCAAATTTGACCAACTTTATAGTTTATAGGAAAAATATAGCAGCATTTCTAACACAGTACAAATATAATATAAAAATATATTCAATAGTGGATTTAATGAAACTAATTTGGTGTTGTAGATGTTGCTACATTTTTTCTACAAACTTGGTCAAAACTGAAGTGAGACTTATGACAAACCCAAAATGTCTTGTGATAAGGAACGGAGAGAATAGTGTGCTAACACAATAGCCTTTAACATGAAAGGTAGCTGAAAATTGATCTTACTTGATTCCCCATTTTTTATCAAGCTCATGTTTCATTGCTTTTGTAACACAGAAGGCACCATCAGCCATCCGTCCAAAATGCTTCTCGAACCTAGAACGGAAAGAACACACCACTGTATTAACACAAGCGATCAGTATGCTATATCTAGCAGATAAACAAACAGGACAAGGAATTACCAGAAGTAGATTTTAACTATGATATGGCTTCTGCCATGAGACAACCCGAGCAGTGTATATCCAAAGTTATGCCAATCCACAATAGACTTAGCACCTCTTAGCCCGCTAGCCAGTTTTACAGCAGCCAATGTTGGAACAGAGGGTGGATTCTGTCAGACAGAAGATGAGATGATCAAATAAAAGAAATCAGTTCCATTCCAATTGTACGACACGATCAGTCACGTATGAGGTTTTCTAATTAACAAATAAATTATAAGTATCATACAGAAGGATCTATAGGTTATATAAATCTATCAGTTAATACGGCCTACAAAACGATGAGACTTTGACTAAGTACAGGCTGCACATATCTTAGCTGAAATGTTGAATTGAAAATGGTGTCATGCAGCATGACTTGCTAACTAAGCTGGGAAATACTTTGCTAACACCATGGTTTTACTACAATGATTGATGAATGATGAATCATAAAAGAATTCCACACTACTGAAAGTGATAGTGATTGTAGAAAAATACATATTGTCCATGTAATTCTGAACCATGCATGCAAAACTGCAAATAAAGAAGCTCAATGCAATTTTGTGATAACTGACCTGAACAATGAAGACATCAGGGCGAGGAATCTTGAAACAAAGGTACCAAATCAATATGATAAACTGGATGGCGGCTTTAAGTAGCATTGACAGGGCACCAGATATCTTTGATATTCCTGTTAACTGCACTGATTTCTAGAAGGTACAATTTGTAAGTACTGATAGTAGGCAAAATTAGAGAACAGCCAACAGCATAATGCTTTCGCACAATCAGTACCATTTCGTGGATGTGAATCAATGGATTTTCTCTCAATAATAGATGTGGGTCACTTCCTGCTCATTTACCCAAAGCAGAACATAGGTCAAATTTCAACAACAGAAGGTCGAAAGCTGTTGGAAATTCAGCCTGTCTGTGTGCCCTATGTGGTATAGTTAGGTATAAATAACTTCGAGTTACAATGCTGGAGTAAAATCCAAAAGTACAATGGAACTTTGAAAAGAGCAATACCTCCATTTGCAACAATGTCCACTTCCATACCACCCTGTCAAGAAAAATAAAGAACGACTAATAAACTAAAACATAGACATATGCTGGCACATAGAGTTGGCTGTTTCACAACATAAAGCATGTTCCAATTTCCCAATTTTTTTGCCACTTGAAGGAAAAATGCTTAGTAAATGCAAGGCAATTTTCTTCTATTCACTTCAAAGTCTGTCTTATCTAACAGGATTAATATTTGCACGTGCAATCACACTTTCAGGGATAAAAAAGCACATTTTTAAGGGAGCAAAAAACTGACGGCATTAATCAAAGCGAAACTATGTCAGCTCACACTTTCAGGGGGGCAAATGACCACCACTACGTTAGTTCATCGGTGCACTGGCACAACTGAGACGTACCACATCTCCTTCCTTTCCTTGTTATTACCATGCTATATAACCTAGGACCAAAGGCTTCTCTAGAGTAGAGTATAGATGGCCAAAAGGCCCGAGGCCCGACGGCCCGGCCCATGGCACGATATTTTGGCCTGGCCCAAGCACGGCACGGCCCGACGGAGGTCGGGCCCGTGCCGGCCCAGCCCGACCACTGGGCCGTGCCTGGGCCCCTCCACCGGCACGTTGGCCCGGCACGGCACGGCCGGGCCGGCCCGGCACGATGGGCCGGCAGCTAGGCCCGATACACAAAAAAAAATAGGGGAGTAAAAATAGACATTATATGCCATGAACGAAAGAATAGGGATCTAAAATAGACTTTTTTTATCTATACATATGTCAGCCAAAGAGGAGGGACAGAAAATAGACTTATTTTAGCTATACATATGTCAGCCCAAAGAGGAGGGACGGAAAATAGACTTATTTTAGCTATACATATGAAATAGCCCAAAGAGGAGGGACGAAAAATAGACTTATTTTAAAAAGGCCCGATGGGCCACCTATGCCTTCAGGCCGGCACGGCACGGCCCAACAGCTGGTGGGCCGTGCCTGGGCGGGAGGTGCAGCCCATGGGCCGGCACGGCCCTGCACGAAGTGCCTATCGGGCCGTGCCGGCCCGATGGCTGCTGGGCCGTGCCCAACCGTGCCTGGGCCGGGCCGTGCCGGGCGAGCCCTTTGGCCATCTATACTCTATAGCAGTGATGAATTAAGTGGAAAAATCATGAAGTGGTATTAGCCATCAAAGCACAATTGAAATGCACCCGCAGCTAACTGGAGGGACTAAGCTTTCCCAATCAAATTCAAACAAAACTAGTATGAGATGAGATGATGGATTTGGCATGGGGAACAATACCTGGTTGGCGAGGGAGAGGGAGTGGTACTGCATGCGCGGGCTGCGCCCAATGTCTCCTAAAACTACTGCCGCTGCGCGCCTCCTCCTCCCTGCCTCCACTGCCGTGGCCATTGCCACTGGCCTTCGGAGTTTGGAAATTTCGGACCCGCTCGCAAAAAGTGCAGATAAGTTGAAGGGCCTATTTGGTGCAGCTCCAAATCCTATATCTAGATCCACCAAGGATCTGAAGGTTCCTGAAAAGGCATTTAGCTAAACATTAGCTCCAAAAAGTCCTGGAAGGGAGGAGTGGATGAAAATGGGCAATTGTACTCTTGGTTATTTTGCTGTTTACCATATTTATACTCAATTAGAGAATATGTTTGTCAAATTTGTTTGGAAATTTCGCACAAATACAACAGTGATCTTTTTTCTCTAAAAATTGTCAACAGCACAAGAACGTACAGATGAAATATATCTTAGCAATCTTATACTCACAAATTAATTTGTAATTTTGCCTACTTTTTCAACGCAGCTGGAGATTCATTTGTTTGTACCAACCAATACCTTGGCAGAATCGTGTCACGCCCGGAAATTCACAAGTAATTTCCAAACTTATTTGTGCATAAAATCCTCGTCCAGGAATCAGCCGAGGTACACAAACTGACAATTTAATATACAGATTCATCAAAGAAACTAAAACGATAAATACTTACTTATGAGGCACTTAGTCCTCATCATGAAGAAAACTGCAGCGGAAAATAAAATCTAGCGAAGCTCCGGCTCCACTCCCACAGGCAGCTCAACTGGGGTATAAGCCAAACGTCTTCTCCTTCTGGGGTATAAGCTCAACTGGGCCGACTGGGCCGGGGAGGGAGAGAGAAAGAGAGGTTTTGGGCCGGCTTTCGGCCCAAAGCCAAAAGAAGGATTTAAAAACATTTTTCAATTTAAATTATTTCTTAAATGCAATTCTATTTATTAAAAATACTTCCTTAGCTCAAATAAATCCCAGAAAAATCTAGGAATTATAGAATTAAGCAAAGTATTTAATAAAATTTTATCTAGCCCAATTTTATATTGAGATTTAACAAATTAAAATTAGATCTTCTCTTTTAGGCTTTTAAAATCATTTCTAATAATTCCTTTTAAACAACAATTTATAATTTAAGGATTTTTAAACAAGAAAAGCTCTTAACAATTATAATTGATCAAATAATTACTGAACTGTTCTTTGTATCATTTAGGAATTGAGCTCTGAAAAATCCGAGAAAATTTCAGAGAGTTGACTTAATCATGGAGAATTTAATAAAAATTAAATCCATCCATGCTTTAGATTTAAGAAATTTTATTTCCCACATTTTACTTCACTTGTAAATTAAAGAACATTTAATATAAATTCTATTATTAATTTATTAAATAATTTTTAAATCCTGAAACGCAAATCAGGATGTGACAAACTACCCCCCTTACAAAGAATCTCGTCCCGAGATTCGGAACGGCTAGAAAGAAAAAGGGAATAGGTAAACTGCAGTCTATCTTATTCCATAACTCCGATAATTATTCTAAGGCTTTAAAGAAAACTACTGCTTCTTTGAAACTGGTGGCTGAGTTGTAACACTTGAAGACACAACTCTTGAAGACGCAACTGGCACTGCATTGGCTCCTGTGACAACAATGTTGTTGACCTGACCTTGCGGCTGCTGATGCTTCGGCTTCGGACACTCTCTTGCAAAGTGGCCTGGCTTGTAACAGTTGAAACATACCTGCTGCTCCCTTCCACTACTGTTATTCACTTGAGACTGATCCTGCTGAACTGGCACCGGCTGATTTGCTTGCTCGATGTTAACTTCTTTGCTTTCATTAGTCTCTGATTTGATCTCACCACCGATGTTCAACTGTTGCGAATGTCCTTGACCAGCGGAAAAAGGTTCACCAATTTGGAGTGGCTTGATACGCTGCCTCTGGCTACTACCTTGTGCCTCCTGGAAAACAGTCATTTTCCTTTTACGGTTATCCATCCTGTTCTTCTTGTCTTCAAGTCGAATTGCTTTGTCAACCAACTGCTGAAAATCAGCATAGTCATGAGAGATCAACGTAACTGACAGTTCATCCTTCAGGCCTTCCAAGAACTTCTCCTGCCTTTCCTCGTCAGTACGCACATCTTCTGGAGCATAACGTGCCAGACGATTGAACTCATGAAGATACTCTGCCACGGTATGATCCTTTTGCTTCAATGCCCTGAACTCACGCTTCTTCGAAGCAACAACTCCAACAGGTATGTGTGTCTTCTTGAATGCTTCCGTGAACTCCGCCCAAGTGATTGGTTGTCCTTCTGCTCTGTTCATCCGGAAATGATCCCACCATTCGGATGCAGGTCCTTGCAACTGATGTGAAGCGAAAACAACTTTCTCCTGATCCGTGCACTGGAGCAATTCCAACTTCTTCTCAATAGCGTGCAGCCAATCTCCTGCTTCCACTGGGTTAGTAGTGCTAGAAAAGGTAGGTGGCCTCACACGAAGAAAATCAGCTAACTTGTTCTGCGGCGGTGGAGCATTGTTGTTCCCTTGGTTAAGCTGGTTCTGCATCTGCTGTATCATCATATTCATTAACTGAGTCTGTTGAGCCAGAACTTGAGCAAGAGTTGGGTTCCCTTCATTGTTATTGTTTCCACTTCCACTGGCGCGAGTGTTCACCATCTGTTGCAGATTAGAGAAGATAGGAGGAGAGGGGTTACACTAAAGACAAGACCTTAACCAGTTTAACACTGATCTGATGTGTGTAGACCATTATATTGTTCAAGTTGATTAAGCAAACAACCTAGTATAGTTACACGCTCATCACTGAACTACTCCAATGATGGGAATGCAACCATACCTACACACAAAGCAAACAACAAACGTTCTACCCTACTAACTATTCTTCAAAGACACTTTGGCGGCATAGGTTCTAAGGTAGGTTCCAAACTTCATTCCATCTTGACCACTTGGCACTTCGGTTCTTCCTCGATCCTCTTGACTGACCTCCATAAATTGTCCACATAAATGTCTTCAAGTTCCAATGTCTTAGAACTACTCAAGTTGAAAGCAGGAGGGGAGAGGATGATAAAATGATTTATAGAGAATTCTAGAGAAGGAAGAAAGGAAAATTTTCACAAATACTGTTTTCGGAAAATTAGTCCTTAAGGTTTGACCATTTGGCTTATCCTACAGTCGAGATGGCTCTGATACCAACTTGTCACGCCCGGAAATTCACAAGTAATTTCCAAACTTATTTGTGCATAAAATCCTCGTCCAGGAAATCAGCCGAGGTACACAAACTGACAATTTAATATACAGATTCATCAAAGTAACTAAAACGATAAATACTTACTTATGAGGCACTTAGTCCTCATCATGAAGAAAACTGCAGCGGAAAATAAAATCTAGCGAAGCTCCGGCTCCACTCCCACAGGCAGCTCAACTGGGGTATAAGCCAAACGTCTTCTCCTTCTGGATCCTTTTTCTTCAACTGAGGTTGATTGATTATTGCAAGGTGAGCATATGACATACTCAGCAAGCCACACAGCAAATATGCAAGTGCACAAGGATACCAAAGGATGGCATAATATTGGCTCATTTGCAAAAGCAGCATTTAGCAAAACATTTAAGAGAAGTAAAACAGTTGAGTAATTAATCAGAAATTTTAATCAACACTGAACAGCACACCCATGCTGCCCAGGCCCAACCATTCTGAACAACCATACCCGGCTGAACAGATCTAACTCCAAACCAGGAGCTAAGCAAATTATTACCAGTTATAACATCAATACTTATTGTGAGAGGTGTGGGACTAATCACGAAAAACATTGCTCAACTCGCCCATAACCGCGGGCACGGCTATTCGAATAGTTTTACTCCGGCCAGAGGTGTACCACTGTACCCACAAGACACAGTCTCAACATCATGTCTACCATGCGTCGTGATACTGGAAAGTACCCGAATAGAGGCTGTGACAATACCCTCTGCATAACACAACTCACCACAGTGCACCATTCCTGGATCATAATCACCCCCTTATAAAACAAGGCATGGACTCCCCAGCGACCCCCGTGGGCTTATCTCCGCCACTTCTCAGTCTGGTGCTCCGCAATGAACCATGTTATACAAAAGGTAAAGCCGTTGCCCACGCTGGCTTGTGGTTGGCACGGTTAATGTTTCACAATAATAGCTCGCGAACCGGTCCTTAATTGTCATGAGCACGACTCTCAAAACCATGTGCTCACAACCCACCATTATCAAGTTTTAGTTGGCAGGTAATTAATTAACCAATCACGATTGACCATCGTGAACTATCATTAAGCCATCATTAAATAATGAGTCATAAGTTATCCCAATAGTGTACTAATGTTTCTAAGCATGGCTAAGCAATCATATCTAATATCTAGCTGAACCAATATATAAAGCTCAACTAGTCAAGTTATAATAACCCAAGGTATCAAGAAATAAAGTAATCAATGCAAACAGGCCATAACAAAAGAATAGGTTAATTCCACCCAATGACATTCGAAAATAAATGCACAGTTGAAATAAATAGAGAATTTAAATATAGGATCAACATGCTCAAAGGAATTGTGTTTGGGATCTGTGTGACTTGCCTTGCAATAATCGGTCTTCAATTAATCTTCTTGAATACTTCCGGCGCACTCGCGAACCTTCGCAACGACGGAAACGACAAGCTAACACGCAAAACGAAGAAAAAGACTAATAAAAACCAAATAAACAATACATAAAAAGTAAACAAACATGTATATTATAATTTTAGATGAATTATGAGACTTGAACGGCCTCATTCTGATTTCATATGAATTTATTATGAATTTTACAAGATTAAATCTATTTAAAGCCCATTTAAAAAGAATTAAATAAATTTAATTCAATTTATGGACAATTTTATTATGTAGATCTTTATTTTATACAACTTTTGCAACTTGAACCACATTAAACTGAGTTAAGATGAATTAGTTATGAATTTTTAAAGATTAAATCGGATTAAAACACTTATATGGATTTTAATTGAATTATGACGCAATAATGAATTATTTTTGAAAAGGAAAAGAAGGATTATTGCGTCAGCGGCTAGGGTTTGCGGTGGACCGGGTGCACGGCGGCGGCTCACGGAAACGAACGGCCGAGATCAACCCTATCCAAAACGGACGGCCGAGATCGATCGGGTCCACGGCGGCTCACGGGAGAGGGCGACGATGACGTCAGCGATGACGGCAGCGATGACGTCAGCACCGGCGGCGACTCGGGCGGCTCGGGCGCGCATGCTCGCCGGCGAACGACGGCGCGGCGACGCGAACGGAGGGCACCAACGGGTAGAGGGCGACGCGGCGAACTCACCGGTGACCAAAGGAACGGCGGAAGGGCAACGGACGGCGCCGGCGACGAGGAAGAAGCGGCGGCAACCTTCGGGTCGACGGCGGCAACGGCGCTCCGGCGGTCTTCGGCGGTGGCGAAACGGTAGACGGGGACGGCGACGACCTTGCGAACCCGACGGCGGTCTTCCCGAGCGACGGCGACGACTGGAGCAACGGCGAAGGACGACTGGAGCGACGGCGGCGACGGCGGCACGAAGCGGCACGGCGCTAGGGCGCTACGGACGACGAGAGGCGAAGGCGAAGGTGGCGACGGGTAGAGGAGAGCTCGGGGTGCTTATATAGGGGCAAGGAGGCGGCGGCGGAGGCCCACGGCGACCGGCGACGGCGAAGGAAAACTAGGGTTCGGAGGAGAGAAGAATCCGATTCGATCTCGATTCCATCGAGTTTCCAAACCGAATTAGGCGATGATTCCAAAAGAGAAAAGGAAGAGGAGATCTCAAGGATCATTTGCCCTCAAACGATTCGGCCGGAGAAGGAAAGACGCGGCCGAATTTGGAAGGAGACGGCGGCGGCTTGCGTTAGGGTTTCGGGCGGCGGCGGCGGCGCGAGGAGGACGACGGGTCTGACAGGTGGGCCCCACCTGTCAGCGACAGAGAGAGAGAGGAGAGCAGCGGCTCGGCGGACTGGGCCGACTGGGCCGGGGAGGGAGAGAGAAAGAGAGGTTTTGGGCCGGCTTTCGGCCCAAAGCCAAAAGAAGGATTTAAAAACATTTTTCAATTTAAATTATTTCTTAAATGCAATTCTATTTATTAAAAATACTTCCTTAGCTCAAATAAATCCCAGAAAAATCTAGGAATTATAGAATTAAGCAAAGTATTTAATAAAATTTTATCTAGCCCAATTTTATATTGAGATTTAACAAATTAAAATTAGATCTTCTCTTTTAGGCTTTTAAAATCATTTCTAATAATTCCTTTTAAACAACAATTTATAATTTAAGGATTTTTAAACAAGAAAAGCTCTTAACAATTATAATTGATCAAATAATTACTGAACTGTTCTTTGTATCATTTAGGAATTGAGCTCTGAAAAATCCGAGAAAATTTCAGAGAGTTGACTTAATCATGGAGAATTTAATAAAAATTAAATCCATCCATGCTTTAGATTTAAGAAATTTTATTTCCCACATTTTACTTCACTTGTAAATTAAAGAACATTTAATATAAATTCTATTATTAATTTATTAAATAATTTTTAAATCCTGAAACGCAAATCAGGATGTGACAAATCGGTACTGTATATTCGCAGCTTAACAAGTACCCAAGGGGACTAGTCCCAACCAAACCTTTCTATAGCGAGCAATCACGAACTCTCTTCCTTGAGAAGCCTGCTTTCCCAACCAGATGAATGTGTTCAGCTAGCAACATGATGCGGGCTATGGCCGACCACCATGCAGAATAATTTCACATATATCATGCGTTAGCACAATCGGTTAGGAACATACATGAATTTCACTGTCTAAAGTCAAGTCAGGTTGTTAGGTTGTTCTTGCATTGATATGGAAGAGCAAAATCGAGTGGAAGAGGGGCGAATTTGTAGGGTTTGGGGGAAATACCGTACCAAATAAGCCCTTCAAAAATCTAGAACCATAAACATACATATCTATCATACATGCTAACATGCAGTATCAATCTTGGTATTCAGGTAGGGCTAGTTCTTGGTGAATCAAAGACAAGGAAATCAAATCAAGGGTACATTATATATTATATGACTTGCACCTATTGTTGGTTGTTGCTAGGATGAAGTACATAAGTTTTAAACATCATACTAATATAATTTGTTGGATAAAGATAGAGGAGGCCACGTTAATTGGTGACTGCTGTCAAAAGGAACTGACCATATATTGTCTCATTGGGCCATAGTATCAATGCATTAACATTTTCTTCCTAATCTTTTGACCGGATAGGTACAATTATGCAGATCAAAATGCTTGTGGAAAAATCAATTTGTGACTTCTGTTCTGTCCTATTCACATACTTCTCCTTATTGGTAAGAAAAGGTTCAACATTTTATTACTTGAGGTTTGTAGTATTTATTACTTAATTAACAGCTAGCTCAAATCAAGTTTATCAACGATTAACATACTATTCAGTTCCAACCATCCTATGTGAACAACCATGAAATGTTTAGGAACAGATGAAAACTTCTCAAGGGGAGCTCCAACCAATCATTTTTTAGGGATATCTCCAATCAATCATAATCATAGATGTATAACCAGATGAGATATACAATAAGGAGCAAAAGACACTAAATCTGTGAGAAGCTTACCATGCTGTGCATCTATGGTATTTTTTTTAACCATCATACTAATCTAATTTGTTGGATAAAGATAGAAGAGGCCACATTAACTGGTGACTGCTTAAATAGCTAGCTACATCAAACTCGACAAACAGCACCATCAGTTCTAATCAAGACAGAACAGCACCATAACGACATATTAATCATGACACTGATATGGTTCAAACCTAAGCCAGATTAATCAAGACACTGCATCAAACTCGACAAACAGCATCATCATAATCCCAAAAAGGCTTATTCCAACGAGAACCATCGGTCCTCTAGACCCTGATTAAATAGCTAGCTACATCAAAATTGCGCACCATGTTCAAGGCCTTGTTCTTGACGGTGGATGAGGAGGAGCCCTTGCAGTTGGAGACAGGGACAGACCAAGAACCCAAGGAACAAGAACCAAACCCTAGGTAGGACAGGGAGAAGAGAGGGGAAGGAAGAGAGACTCACCGGTGAGAAGGTGGCCAGCGGAGGGGACGGTCGCCGGAGGGGAGAACGCCGCCACCGCCGCCGCACTCGCCTCATGCGCCGTCTCGTGCACTTTGAGGCCCAGAATGAGGGGGAAAGGCCGGGGTAGGCCTGGATCCAATCCTTGCCGGGCTTAACCGAACGCAATTTTTTTGGTGGGCCGGGGTTTAATCCAAGCCGGGCTGATCCACCGGTATTGGGCCGCAACCCAGCCCGACCCCACCCAAAACGAACAAGGCCCATTGTAAACGGGCTGGGATTCTATCCAGGCCTAAGCACGTGGACAGACCGGAATTGAGGCCAATTCAGGAAAGAATAAGTTCATCTGAGGTCCCTTAAGTTTACACCGAATCCGATTTTCATCCTTGAACCCCAAAACCAGATGCAACCGGTCTCTAAACTGTCAAAACCGGTGCAAACGAAATCCCTCGGCGGTTTGGAACAATCAATAGTAGTAAAATAAGCATTCATATGAATAATTAGACGGCAAGTGAATTAAACATACCAGTTATCTCCATTCATCACACGACAAACAAGTTCGTCGTGCCTTAACATCATTGATAACCCGATGTCTGACTGGCGGTACCGAAACACTCTAAATCTAAATAACAAAAAATAACACTCAAAATTGGATAACTACAAATCTAAGAGGTAATCTTTAGTCACTAATTAGTCAATTAAAATCTAAAAAGCTAAACTTTACGAAAAACATGACCTCACTGTTCTAGTTATAATCCTGAAACTACTTTAACAAAGTATAGAAAATAAATACATTTAGAGCATTTACAGAAAATTATCTAAAACTTTGATGTTGAGTAAAAACTCTAAGTCGGTATCTATTGGTTGTGGATTTAAAAAGAAGAAACGTTGTGCCAGTTTGAACCTGGTTAGCAGCACTATCCTAAACCGCTTATCTGATTTATATGAAACTAGAGCCGTTCTATAAAGATAGCGACGATACTGCAAACGTCGCTTCGATCATGACACCTAATTTATATTAGATTAATACCAAAATTCTAATTAATGGTGTGTTTAGTTCATACCAAAATTGAAAGTTTGGTTGAAATTGGAACAGAGTGTTCGAAAAGTTGAAAGTTTGCGTGTGTAGGAAAGTTTTGATGTGATGGAAAAGTTGGAAGTTCGAAGAAAAAGTTTAACTATATCCTATTGATCGGAGAATGGTAATCCAACAGACTAAAATTATTTAACCGCCACGATTTCAAATTAACGGACACCAATTGCTGTATTTCGCATAGCTCAAAGAACTCTATGTATCTACTGTCTCAGATCGTTTGTCCATAGGATGGTTCAAAAATTGAATTTTCACGCCACCCGTTTAACCGGTTCTGATTAAATCTTAGGGCATCACAATCCATTACGAATTGGGAATAGCCAACTCCGGAGAATAAAAAAAGAACGATAATTAGAAACTACATGGATTTCTCTGCAAATACATCATGCGGCATAGCCCCTTTTTTAGAAAAAAAAATAAAGAAGAAGAAATATCCAGTGTGGATTTTGGATATCTGGATATCCTCTTTGGCACGGTTTCGAATCCAAAATCTATCTGGATATTCCTAACTCCACAACTCCATGGATTTAGATCTATGATTATTTTGATAACATTTGAATAAATCATTTTGTTCCCAATTTAGATAAAATTTTAAATTTTAAACCAGTATAATTTCACATACAAACTTTAAATCTAACATACTTTCGATATTCGGAGCTGTGCCAAGCAGTACCTTAATTTGATTTAGCATTAGCTCTAGCTTGGAATTTTTTACTCTAAAAAAACCCACGCAAATTTTGAATTTGACCCCAGAAACCACCCACAGGCTACAGTACAATGGCAATTCAAAATACTCCAATTAATTAAGTAAAATAGTTTAGGAACAAAACCGCTTGAAACCCTACTTATACTCCCCTTCCATGGTTTGGTTCTCTCCGCCTTGTCACTGCCGAAGGTGGTCAAACGATGCTACTATCCCTCCTCCCTGAGTAAATAATTTCATCATCCAGCTTTATATTCAGTGGGAATCCAACTTGTAAAAATCTAAAGAAGTTTTAAAGGTTCTAGTTAATTTTCTAGAATGTGAAGAACAACTGGATTGATTTAGAGAGCTTTTAATTTTCGGAGAAGCCGCGGCAGTTAGAAACTCCTTCAAACATTCCCTTAATTTGATTTGGCATTTAACTCAAGCGGTAAGCCTGTAACATTTCCCCTGTACGGAATTTTTACTCTACTAAAAAAATCTCAGGTAAAATTTGAATTTCACCAAAATTGACGAAATTCCACCAAAAATCCAAAACCACCTACAGGCTATACTGGAAGTCTGCAAATTTTAACACTCCAATAAAGTAGTAAAACAGTTTGGGAACCCACAAAACCCCTCAAAACCCTACCACTACACTCCCCCCCTTCCATCCATGGCCTGATTCCCTCCGCCTCGCCGCCGCCGGAGGCGGTCAAACGATGCTACTACCCCTCCCCCCGCGCCGCCGCCTCCTCCTCCTCATCTACCCTCGCCGCCGCCCCGCCGCCGCCGCGTTCTCCACCCTCCCTACGCCGCCCGCCGCTGCCGCCCCAATCTCCCACCGCCTCCGCCTCCTCCGCTCCCTCCAGTCCGTCCCCGCCGACCGCCTCCTCTCCCACCCGCTCCCCTCCACCGCCCACGCCTGCCTCGCCGCCCACCTCCTCGCCCGCGACCGCCTCTACGCCCACTCCCGCCGCGTCCTCTCCCGCCTCGTCGCCCTCCGCCGGCCCCACCTCGCCGCCTCCCTCGTCGACCTCCTCCACCGCGCCGCGCTCGCGCTGGGCCCCCGCCGCAGCGCGCTCGCCTCCGTGGTCGACACGCTCCTCTCCGTCCTCGCCGACAGGGGGCTCCTCGACGACGCCGTCCGCGCCGTCGCCCGCGTCCGGGAGCTCCGGGTGCCGCCCAACACCCGCACCTGCAACCACATCCTCCTCCGCCTCGCCCGCGACCGCAGCGGCCGCCTCGTCCGGCGGCTCTTCGAGCAGCTGCCCGCGCCCAACGTGTTCACGTTCAACATCGTGATCGATTTCCTCTGCAAGGAAGGGGAGCTCGCGGAGGCGAGGTCGCTGTTCTCGAGGATGAAGGAGATGGGCTGCTTGCCAGATGTTGTAACATTCAATTCTTTGATTGATGGGTATGGGAAATGCGGGGAGCTGGATGAGGTGGAGCAGCTGGTGGAAGAGATGAGGAGGTCGGGGTGTAAAGCCGATGTTGTGACATACAACGCGTTGATCAATTGCTTTTGCAAATTCGGGAGGATGGAGACGGCGTACGGTTACTTTGCTGCGATGAAGAGGGAGGGGGTGATGGCAAATGTAGTGACTTTTAGCACCTTTGTCGATGCGTTCTGCAAGGAGGGTTTGGTGCGAGAGGCGATGAAGCTGTTTGCGCAGATGAGGGTGAGGGGTATGGCGCTTAATGAGTTCACGTATACGTGTTTGATTGATGGGACATGCAAGGCAGGGAGGCTTGACGATGCTATTGTGTTGCTCGATGAAATGGTGCGCCAAGGGGTGCCCTTGAATGTGGTAACATACACTGTGTTGGTTGATGGCCTATGCAAAGAAAGGAAGGTTGCGGAAGCAGAGGATGTTTTGAGGATGATGGAGAAGGCTGGTGTCAGAGCCAACGAATTGCTTTACACTACACTAATTCATGGGCACTTCATGAATAAGAACAGTGAGAAAGCACTTGGTTTGCTAAGTGAGATGAAGAATAAAGGATTGGAACTTGATATTTCACTCTATGGTGCCCTCATTCAGGGGCTTTGTAATGTGCACAAATTGGATGAGGCTAAGAGTTTGTTAACTAAAATGGACGAGTCTGGTCTGGAACCCAATTATATCATATATACAACTATGATGGATGCTTGTTTTAAATCTGGAAAGGTGCCAGAAGCCATTGCCATGCTGCAGAAGATTCTAGATTCTGGGTTCCAGCCTAATGTAATAACCTATTGTGCATTGATTGATGGATTGTGTAAAGCAGGATCGATCGATGAGGCAATCTCCCATTTCAACAAAATGAGGGACTTAGGACTAGATCCTAATGTACAGGCTTACACTGCTTTGGTTGATGGTTTATGCAAGAATGGTTGTTTGAACGAGGCTGTGCAGTTGTTTAATGAAATGGTTCACAAAGGTATGTCTCTGGACAAAGTTGTGTACACAGCTCTTCTCGATGGGTACCTAAAACAGGGAAACCTCCATGATGCCTTTGCCCTCAAGGCTAAGATGATTGATAGCGGTTTGCAGCTTGATCTCTTTTGCTACACTTGTTTTATATCGGGTTTCTGTAATCTAAACATGATGCCAGAAGCTAGAGAAGTTTTTTCAGAGATGATTGGACATGGTATTGCTCCTGATAGGGCAGTTTACAACTGTCTGATAAGCAAATACCAGAAATTAGGGAACTTGGAGGAGGCAATAAGTCTTCAGGATGAAATGGAAAGAGTTTTACCCTCTTGTACAGACAGTGATACCGCAACTGATGGTAAAACCTGAGCTCATGTAGTGTTACCATCTCAGGAGTTGGAACTGTATAGGCATCAGTACCACTATGCTGAAATTTTTTTGATGCAGCATAGAAACATATGCCACTGATTCAGTACACTTCTCCTGATATTTTTCAGCTGGCTCAGTCTGCACAACAAAATGCATTAGGTGCCAAATTTTAGGAAGCACACCAAAATTTCCTGTTAGCCTCAAAACAGACCCATAGCAAACACAAGTGTGTTTTTAAGGAGTCTGCTTCGCTACTAGTTAAGGATACAAAGGAGGAACTTGAACTGGAAAAATCTTTCAAGGTATGGTTTGTTCTATTATTCTATTATATTTAGAAGAAATGTGCTGTCTGACCATTTGTCAGCCACTAACTTATTCCTTTTCCTTTTGGGTTACTCAAACAAACTATGGGGCAATTGCAAATTTTACCACTGTTTTGAATTGTTATTGCAAAACTGCCACCAGAACTGTCATTCCAATGGCATTCTTGCAAAATATAAAAAACCAGTGGCAAATTTGCAAATGCCCCGTTTGCAAGAAATATTTGAAATTTGTTGTTTGTTCTGATTAAACTTTTACCTCATTTTCCTTTCATATGTAATAACGCCATTTGTATATGATATGGGCTGTAGATATTACCTATATTATTTCAACTGGTGTTGATGCCAGTAACAGATCAATAATGTGTGAACCGTCAAGCCAGCATGAAGGTGCAGGACTTTTCTCATGATGCAGTGTACTTTCTTTATAATTTATTAATCATTAGTTGGTGGATACTATTCACAGATTTTTTTTTACTGGATGCAACCATTGTTTCTTATTGGCATTTTCACAGCATGTAGGTGTCTTATTTTTTGTCATCCTAATTATATTGCCAGTAGTACTTATAAGGCTGTGTTCGGATTCCCTGGATGGGAACTAATCCTCCCACACGGAAAACGGAGTGATCCATTAGTGCATGATTAATTAAGTATTAGCTAAATTTCTTTTCAAAAATGGATTAATTTGATTTTTTTAAGCAACTTCCGTATAGAAACTTTTTGCAAAATGCACCGTTTAGTAGTTTGAAAAGCGTGCGCGTGGAAAAAGAGGGAGTGGTTGGGAAACTTGGGTGCCGAACACACCCTAAGCCCATCTCAGTAAAAAAAAAAAAAGGGTAAGCAAAGCAAATCTTTTTTAGGGCAGATAAGCAAGCAAATTCTGACATTCCTTTTTTCCGTATTTTTATCTTACTGATCTTTACTGAAATTATCTTTGCTCAACTAAATACTGTGTTCTAATTCATATATTAATGTCTCAAGAAGTAATGAAGATAAAGTTTGCAGTATGTGGGGTAGCACTGTAGCAGGACAATGTAAATGCATTATGCATTATCAACATTTGATTTTTAATTTCCTGTGTTACTAGAAAACTTAAAAGATAACAGCTATTGGAAATCTGCCACTTTATTATCTGTTATCTAGCTATAATGTCTTTACCGTTCTGTTTGTGAAAACAGTACAAATCTATTTTCACCAAGCAATCTGTGGCATAAGTAATTTGTTGTTGTTTCAGGTTTATCATGGCACCATTTTGCCCAAGCCACAAGTGCCAGAAGATTTATGATGAGTTCTCTCGTGTCTAAAAATGACAAGATATCTTTCCTTATGTTGCTACTACATTAGTCTCATAAACCTAACAAGGTTGTGAGATGTATTACTCCTGAAGAAATTTATTGATGCAGCGTCAGAAACAGCATACAGTTGAAAGTGACATTTTGTTTTCTTATAGTCTGATCTTCAATAACTGCAGAATAATATGAGATCGCAGATGAATCTGATCTTTGATGTCTTATCTTAACCACAGTAGCCAAAAGATATTCTCTTCTTCAGGAACCTGTTATTTTGGCATTCTGAGGTGATAAGGGGTGATAAGAGTTTCCCTACTAGCAATGCTGCTGGTTTGGTGGTAATATCTACACGAGAAGACTGATTATGAAGTGAGACAGGTTGATTTGCATGCAGTTGTTTCTGGTGTTAACGCACATAACTGATGGCTGCAAAGTTTTACCATCTGTTATTCAAGTGACATTTATGGAAGTATTGCGAGCCACAGTGACTCCGTGATCAAAAAGGTGGGGTTGAGTACCATGGTTTGCAATTACGGACCTGTTAGAAACTAAGAAAATTGTAATTATAAGTAGACACAAATGACGTGCTTCAACTTTTGATATTGGTTACAAATGTGACCTGCTCAAATTTGGGGAACCATTCCATCCTCCCAATCATCAGGTGAGAGAAATTGATTAGTGGAGATTGAACGTATTCAAGTTTTATTACTTTCTAGTAGCTCTCTGACTGGCTCCCTGTTTGTGAGGTTATATTAAGTTAAGCTACTGCTTTTAGTTTTTGTTCGTTCTTCACCTTACCACTGCAATCTTCTGCTTGGTCAGGGTTTTATGCTGAAAGAACTGAAGAGGTGGTATTTCCAGTGTGGGGGAGGAACAGTTTTGCTAGTAGTGCTTTAAGAAACTGGGGATGATACTGTAGTATGGCCGTGCATTTTCTGGAAGTTCATCAATATTTTGAAGAGGTGATATATTGGAGCACTGCAGTCCGAGAAATGATTTTTACGGCCTCGGTCTTTTCTCAGGCTTTCAGCCTCCCAGGCAATTGAATTTATTGAACCATTAGTCATAAACTAATACTAACACACATAGCACATTCTTAAGAAATAGATAGACCTTGGTGTTCGCATAGACTATTGTATTGCACAGTTTTGTTTCCTTAATTATTGATTCATTTTCCCTAATAAGTGAAAACCGTATTCTTTTTCACCAATACAATGATGCTAATTCTTTTTTTTCCCCTGTGTAACATGGATTGCTGATCCTCCCCAATACAATGATGCTAATTCTTATTTCTTTTTTGCTTCCCTCTTTGTAACATGGATTGCTGATCCTACTAAAACTAACAGTGACAAATAGAGTACTGTTTTCACTGTTTTGTTCTCTCTTACATGATGGCTCATCATGTACTCTGCATCATCAGGTAGCATAATTTTTTACAGATAATATCATTCTCACATACTGTTCTGCTGATACGATATCATTGATAGCACTACTACTTCGCAGTCACAACTGTAACAATGTTTATCTTTTCCTTGTACAAAAGATCCAAATGTTGCAACAAGTATTTTTTGCAGGTGATCTGCGCTTGTCTAGGCGGCGGCGGCGTGGCGCCTCTCGACGGCGGTGAGCTTGACGCCGCGCCTGAAGCTGAGCACCATCCCGAACTGGAGCTCCGGCGGCGACTCCATCCGCGGCGACCGGCGGAACACGAAGCGGCGGTAGAGGTGCGCCATGGCCAGCTTCACCTCCTGCAGCGCGAACCGCCGCCCCGGGCACGCGCGCGGGCCCAGCCCGAACGGCACGTGCGCGTACGCGTGCCGCCGCCGCTCCTCCTCGCCGCCGGCGTCGAACCTCTCCGGCCGGAACTCGCCGGCGTCCCGGAACTGCGCCTCGTCGCGCGACAGGACCCCCGGCGCCAGCCACACCCACGTCCCCTGATCAGTTTATATAGTACTAGTGCGGTTTGGGTTTTTCAAGTTTAACGGTGAGGTTACAGAGGAGATTTATAACGTGTTGGTTAATTGCCTACCTTTGGGAGTGTGTAGCCTCCGACCTCTACTTGCTCCGACGTCTCCCTCGCGATGAGCGGCGACACCGTGTAGAACCTCATCGCCTCCTTTATCACCTGCACTTTTTGAAGAGAAATTAGGAGAACAAATGTGTATTTATGTTGGAAATTGACAATTCATCGTGAAACTTGTAAGTTAATATCGCTAATTTATCACTGAACTTTAAAAACAAAACAAATGTGGGGGGTTTATGATGAACACTGAGAGTTGCATCATGAAACTAGTAGGTTAAATTAGCTACTCCCTCTGTTTCATATTATAAGTCGCTTTAACCTTTTTAAAATTATTTTAAATTTCTTGAAAGTTTGACCAAGGTTATAAAAAATAGAACATATTTTCATAGTTTCTTTATTTTGTGTTGAAAATATTATTATATTTTTCTATACATTAGTTATATATAAAGAAGTTTGAAAAAAAAATAGAAACGCACTTATAATATGTGACTAAGATAGTAATCAACAAAGTAATTTAGATAATTTACCGTTAATTAGCGATTAATACGACTTATAATATAAAACAAATGTAGTAATTAAGAAAGTAATTAAAAGAATTTACAGTTCGTTAGTGATTAATTACCTGGTCGAGGTAGGGGAACTTGTGCTCCAGGTCGTCTGCCGTCGGGACCGCGTCGGGCGGGCCGAAGCGGTCGACCTCGTCGAGCAGCTTGGCCTCGACGCCCGGGTGGCCGGCGACGAGGTACACGGCGGAGGAGAGCGTGAACGCCGTGGTGGCGGAGCCGGCGAGGAGGTGCTCGTAGGTGAGCGCGCCGACGTAGTCCGGCGTGAGCAGCGCCCGCATCCTGTCGCTGCCGCCGTCGCGGGCGTTGAGCACGGCGGACAGGAAGTCCCGCCGCGCCCGCCTCGCCTCGCCGCCGGCGCGCTCCCGCCTCGCCACGACCGCCCCCACGCGCGCCCGCAGCCGCTCGTTGGCGCGCGCGGTCCGCCAGTCCGCCGTCGCCGGGACGCGGCTCAGCAGCCGCCGCGCGGGCCCCTGCAGCGCCGGCGCGACGAGGCCGAGCACGATGGAGAGCGACCCCGAGAGGTCCATCTTGAGGGAGGTGGTGGAGTGGACGTGCTCCCTGATGAACTCCGCCGCCTCGCCGCCGTCGGCGTCGGCGTCGTCGGAGCGCGGTGCTGCCGCCGCGGCGGCCGTCAGGCCGAAGTCGACGCCGAACGCCGCCTGGCCGATGACGTCGGTGGCGAGCTTGAGTGACAGGTCGGAGAAGTCGACGTCGCGTTGCTCCGCCGCCGCTATGGCGTCCGCGGCGCGCGCGACGCAGCTGTGCATGGTGGGGATGAGGCCGGCGAGGTGCGACGGCTGGTACAGCGAGATGATCGTGTTCCTCATCGCCGACCACCTCGCGTCCCTGCAACGCAAGCGTTCTCGCATTACACTATGATGACGCAGTAATGTTAGAATTTAATTCTTTTTTAAAAAAAATCGCACCCATTTCCCATTTGGAACGCGCAAAATTTTCAAGAATCACTATGTAATTGAAACGTTTCCTACAAAAATTACACGGAATCCCTGCGTCTGAAACAAAGCATATGCTACAAAACACTCACGCGTGCAAAATTAGTAGTACTGCCATACTATAGTGTTTTGTTGACATTTTTGCCTTTGAATGGAGATCTTCGAAGCTCCACACATTGATTTGCACCAATTCCAAACCATGATCAAACAGTGGATGATCACTACTTATCTCTTGAAACGCTTTGAATTGGAAAAAGTGATTATGAAATGGATTTGAGCTCCATCGGTTGGCCTAGTAAGCCAAAGCAAAAACCAAAAATTGAATTTTCGAGCTTGATTTTGAAATTGGTTTTATGATATTTTCAACGTAATTTCTTTTTAGCGTTGAATTTTAAGTCTATACGAATAAATATATAAAAGTTTCACCTACAGATTAATTTTTAATTTTTTTTGTTATGACCTTGTGAAGAAGAGGCCCTTCTGGTGGAGAGGGGAGCCGGCGATAGGCGCCGGCAAGCTCCGGTTTGCGATGCTCTTAAACTGCCTGATCCCGACCTCCTTGCACAGCTCCGCCTCCGCCACAATCACCAGCGGCTGCCTCCCCAAATGAAACCTACAATCCAATCCATTACAAAAAAAAAAAAACCATCTCCTTCCCAAACAGATCAAATCAAAGCAAATAAGCCCAGAAATTTGGAAGCCAATTATTAGATTCTTTTTTTTTTTGTCCAATTTTTGTTCTGAATTTGTGTTACCTGAAGATGGGCCCGTATTTCTTGGCGAGGACGGCGAACACGTCGGGGCCATGGGCGGCGAGCAGCGGCAGGTGGCCGACGACGGGGAGGGCGGCCGGCCCCGGCACCCGCCGGACGCCCCACCACGGCGCGTAGAAGTAGACGACCACCACCACGACGCCGGCGAGCCAGGACCACGGCAGCAGCAGCCATGGCTGATCCCTCGCAGCCGCCGCCGCCGCCGCCACTAGAGCCTCCATTGATCTGATCTGAGCTTTTGATCACTCGTATGTGATTCTTGCAAGATCACTCTCCGATCGAGTCACAGCCGATTAATTGGTTCTTCTTTATATGAGTGATTGCCACTGCAGATTGCAGTTGGCCATCCATAGTGCTGTGATGTTGCTGGGAATTTTTTTATGCAAGAGATTGAATTTTAGTGCTGTGTCAAAGAAATGGGGAACTTGGAGATGATGGATTGGACGGCCATTGTCGCCCACATTCTCCTCCAAGTGGGGAAGAACAATGCCCCGGAATTCTTTTCAATAAACAAGTTGGGAAGGGGGGAAAAACACTTTGCAAGAATTTTAAACAAGGACGGATAGCTGTGGCATCCAACTGTACATTCCCCCACGATTTTGTAAAGGGTATGGTCGAGTTTTTTAAGCCCTTCAAATTTGCTCAAACCAAGCCTTTGGATTCAAGGATTTTTGGAGGAAAAGTAGAGGCATTGAATCCAAGAGAATAATTCCTATTAGAGATCATATTTGGTTTGTAGGATTGCTTCAAAGGAATTTCATAGGATAGGAAAAAAAATACTCCATATTTTGGAGGATTTTTAGCATGATGTTTAAGCTCATATTTTCAAATTCCTTTGAGAGTTCCAATGCAACTTGTGTATTTTTCTCTCCCTTCACTCTCTAACAAAATCATAATATAATCTTAATTTTCGTCGGAGCTATGCAAACATCTTTTTTGAGCAATTCCCATGATTTTATTTCTTGTAGGATTCAACAAGTACTGATAATCTATTCCTAGGAGTACTTCTTTTTTTCTTTCCTGTGTTTTCAAAATCATGCGTTCCAAATAAGCCCTTCTAGTCGCGGGATGAAATTAGGCAAAATCCGTTTGGTAACATCGAAAAATTGTCCAAAAGCTTGGTTTTAAGTTCAGGGCTCGGCTGGGCCTTGACAAACTTACAAACAGAAAATTAGGCCCAATGGGCCTTAACATCCGAACTTGGAATAAGATCACCTTGACTCCCTCAACTGACCACCGAATCTAAATCGTATCCCTCAACCGCAGTACCAGAAATCTTGACTCCCCAAACTTACAAAACCGGTGCAATTTGACTCCCTGGGTGGTTTTAGGAGGCGGTTTTGCTGACGTGGCGCCTACGTGGCAATATTGACCGAGTCTTCGTTCCACGTGGCGATGACGTGGCACCTACGTGGCGGTAGAATTAAAAAATATGCGTGGGACCCATTAGTCATTCACACAAAAAGAAATGTGGGCCCACTGACATGTGGGGCCCACATGTCAGTCCTCCTTCCTCCTCCCTCACTCCTTCCTCTCTCTTTCTCTTCCCTTCTTCCCCTTCGCCGCCGCTCCCACCTCCACCGCCGCCGCTCCCTACCACCGGCGAGCTCCAGCCCCTCCCCCGCGAACAGACGGACGGCGAGCCCCTCCCCCGCGCGCGGACGGCCGGCGAGCCCCACCCCTGCGCGCGGATGCCGGCGAGCCCCACCCCCGCGCGCGGACGGCCGGCGAGCCCCTCCTCCGCGCGCGGACGGCGGCGAGCCCCTCCCCCGCGCGGGGACGGCGGCGCGCCCCTCCCCCGTGCGCGGACGGCCGGTGAGCCGGCGAGCCTCTCCCCCGCTCGCGAACGGTCGGCGAGCCCCTCCCCCGCGGGCTGACGGCCGGCGAGCTTCTCCCCCGCGCGCGGACGGCCAGCGAGCCCCTCCCCCACGCGTCGACGGCCAGCGAGCCCCTCCCCACGCGCGGACGGCCGGCGAGCACCTCCCCCGCGCGCCGACGGCCGGCGAGTTCCTCCCCCGTGCGCTATCGTCGTCGCCGCCGCCACGACGCCTCAGCGCATGGCCGCCTCCCCCGCGAGTCCCTCTACTGGGCCGCCTCCTCGTCGCCATCGTCGTCGACCCCCCACTCCCTCCGCACCTACTGCCTCCTCGTCCACCTCCTCTCCCGCACCGCCGGATGCCGCCGCCGCTCGCTCTCGCTGTCCCCGCACGCCACCGGCCGAAGGGGAAGAAGGGGAGAGAAAGAGAGAGAAGGGAGAGAGGGAGGAGGAAGAAGGTCTGACATGTGGGCCCCACATGTCAGTGGGCCCACATTTCTTTTTGTGTGAATGACTAATGGGTCCCACGCATATTTTTTATTTCTACCGCCACGTAGGTGCCACGTGGAACGAAGACTCGGTCAATATTGCCACGTAGGCGCCACGTAGGTGCCATGTGGAACGAAGACTCGGTCAATATTGCCACGTAGGCGCCACGTCAGCAAAACCGCCTCCCAAAACCGCCCAGGGAGTCAAATTGCACCGGTTTTGTAAGTTTGGGGAGTCAAGATTTCTGGTATTACGGTTGAGGGATACGATTTAGATTCGGTGGTCAGTTGAGGGAGTCAAAGTGATCTTATTCCTCCGAACTTAACAGCTCAAGCTTAATTCTGGGCCAAATTCACCAGCCTTGCTCTGGTGCCCGGCAGCCCGGCCCAACAATGGAATCCGACCGATGATTCTGGTCGCTCGCTGCTTCGCTTGCTCGCGGGCCTCGCGGCCACATCCATCAAACCACGGGAAAGATCCGGCCGCGCGCTCCTTTTCTAGCGCACGTTAGAAGCTTCCAAAGAAAAAAAAATCCCACGCCTCCAAACGCCCAAAATGCATCTCCCCTCGCCTTCCTCTAGTACCTTCCAGAATGTTCCGTTTCCCTCCTATAAATTACAAAATCCCACCTTCTTCTCCCGCCAAAAGCACGCCGATGGACTACTCGACGGTGAAGCAGGAGGAGGTGGAGGTGGTGGTGCTGGATGGAGAGGAGGAGGCGGCGGCGGCGGCGGCGCCAGTGCCGTTGCCGGCGGCGATGGGGGTGGGGGCGGCGGTGGCGCCGTTCCTGGTGAAGACGTTCGAGATGGTGGAGGACCCGGCGACGGACGCGGTGGTGTCGTGGGGCGGCGCGGCGAGGAACAGCTTCGTGGTGTGGGATCCCCACGCCTTCGCCGCCGGCCTCCTCCCGCTCCACTTCAAGCACGCCAACTTCTCCAGCTTCCTCCGCCAGCTCAACACCTACGTACGTTGAATCGATCGAGCATTCGATCTCGCCGCCAATGGCGTCCACCATGGCGCGGCGCGTCGAACGTTTGATTGGGTTTTTTTTTTACGTTCGCTGATTCTTGGTTAGTTTGATTGCAGGGATTCCGGAAGGTGAGCGCCGACAGGTGGGAGTTCGCCAACGAGGACTTCCTCGGCGGGCAGCGCCACCTCCTCGCCAACATCCGCCGCCGCCGCCGCGGCGCCGGCACGGGCTCGACGACGCCGCGTGCTGTGAACTGCGGCGGCGGCGGCGGCGAGGGGGAGGTGGAGAGGCTGAGGAGGGACAAGGAGGCGCTGGCGAGGGAGCTGGCGCGGCTGCGGCGGCAGCAGCAGGAGGCCCGCGCGCAGCTGCTCGACATGGAGCGCCGGGTGCGGGGCACCGAGCGGCGGCAGGAGCAGTGCACGGAGTTCCTCGCGCGGGCGCTCAGGAGCCCCGACGTCCTCGACAACATCGCGCGCCGCCACGCCGCGGCGGTCGAACGAAAGAAGCGGCGGATGCTCGCCGCCGCCGCGGACGACGACGGCCTCACCTTCGAGGCGCTGGCGCTGGCCGCGGCGGCCGACACCAGCCATAGCACGGGCGGCGCGGTGACCACGGACATGATATGGTACGAGCTGCTCGGCGAGGAGCAGGCGGAGATCGACATCGAGGTGGACCAGCTCGTCGCCTCCGCCTCCGCCGCCGCCGACACGGCATCGGAGGCGGAGCCATGGGAGGAGATGGGAGAGGAGGAGGTGCAGGAGCTGGTGCAGCAGATCGATTGCTTGGCCTCGCCGAGTTCTTGATGCATGGCTTGCATTAGGTAGTAGTAAGCTAGCCATGAGCTTCCTCTATATTGTTGTGTGGCGTGTTAGTATTAGTAGCTGCTTTGCTGGTATGTGATTGTTAGTATTTATGTTTGGGAATGGCTTGGTTTGATATAATTCGGATTCTGCGTTTGTTCTTGCAGGATCCAGTGATGGCTTAATTAGGAGTATAATGGAAGGAATGCAGGAAGTGGATGGATGTGGTAGCTAATCTGCTTCATGGATTGATGTATAAGGTTATGTATCAACACTTCACCAGTGGTAATTCATACTACATATTATTCATCTTCATTGATGTGCTACAATGAATCTCTTGGAATTTAATACATTGAATATCTTGGAATTGAGTACTTGTTTAAAGATAAATCATTTTTTGTCTGATAAGCTTGTTTTTTTTCTTCTATAGAGGAATGCAATGGATGATTGATTATTCATCTCTAGGAAACACCTGGTGATAACGAACAATGGCGCTCATGCAGCCTTTTCATAAGACTTGTCTGTTTCATCTTCAAAGGGCCACAGCAGGCACACAGTCCATTTCACTGAAGATCGACAGCCAAGAAGTTGTCTCTCATGAACAGGATCCAACATCAGTATCGCTCAGATTTGTTATTCTACTATTCAATGTTCTAGCTTATTTCATGGAACAGTTTCTTATCTTGATTCTTGATTACGACAGGTTTGCTATCGATGAGCAAAAGTGGTGCTCTCAGCATGAGGCTGCACTGTCCAGATACAAAAGTCCCAGCACCTATTGCCATCCACTTCACTGATAAAGCACGACGCAAAACTCAAGCTTCCAAGGGAACAGGGACAAATGTGTTTAAGTCATCAACTAAACAACATGGTTACAACTGTTGTCTGACAAAAGCTTAACTGTATTTGTTACAAGAGAGAGACATATGGCCACTACTTGTCAGCACTAATGTTACACCTTCAGGAGAAAGGTACAGAAGCTATCTTGGCATTGTTATCAGTCGTCATCGTCGTCGTCATCGAACTCGTCCTCCTCTTCCTCGCTCAGCTCTTCCATAGGCTCATCCTCTTCGTTAACTATAAAACCACTGAGTGTTTCATCTTCCTCATCATCTTCGTCCCCCTCATCTTTTTCATCCCCACTATTCTTATTTTTATCTTTAGTCTCAGTTTTTTCCTTGCGAGGTTTCTTTGGTTCTTTTGATCTTGTAACATACTTTGATCTCTTCACACTAGAACCTCTTGATAATGAATCTTTATCGTCCTCACTCTCACCTATCCAATCTTCGTCTTCACGCTGCCCCTCATTCTTCTTGTTAGCGCCTTTACCCTTTAATTTGCCTTCCTCATCATCTTCATCATCGGAGCCCTTCCTTACTTCCTCCAGAAACCAATTCCAATCCTTTGGGGGACGAATTCTTCCTTTAGGATAGTTGTCAAATTCGTGGCCCATTGATAAGAACCCGAATTCTGCAGCCAAACAATTACTGTATCATTCAACAGGGTGGAAGTATTTTCGATATTACGAAAAACGCCAAACGAAATTATTTATATGTCCTTCGATTTTGCAGGAATCATCACAACTTAATTCTTCAGATAAAAAAAGGAGTAGAGTATAACCGAAATCAGTAGCACTCTTTGGTATTTTCTATGAAACCAAACAGGTCTTGACATATACTAGCAATTTAGCAATGTGACATTCTTGGTTTTGTACATCTACATGAACATACCTAGATATCCCCACAAAAACCAACAACCATTTTGTATCCTTTTTCCTTTTGAATTTACCCTTTTGTACTTCGCATCAACAAACACGAGTTAAACTACACATTAGAAAAGCCTCGAAGATGATGCAATGGAAAGGAAACTAGTCACTGCAATGTAGCTTGAAGATGACTACTAGTATCTAATCAACTCATTTCTACAGCATTGTCAGAAACAAAATTTAACTCTTGTTTGGGTTTTTTTTTTCTTTTTTCTCTGAAGATGAAGATGAACAGAACAAAGGTCAAAGCTCACCTCGAACCGGGTCGATGCTTGATAGATCGAAATTCAAATCCTCCGCTTCGGCATCGGAATCCCCACTGCACGCCGCCTCCGCCTCCGCCTCCGCCTCCGCCGCCGCCTCCTCGTCGGCGGTGACCTCCATGGCCTCCTCCGCGGCTCGCCTCTCCCTCTCCTTCCGCTCCCTCGTGCGCCTCTCCCGCCTCGCCACGGCGTCCAGGACCTCCGCCTCCACATCCCCATCCCCATCCCCGCCCTTGCTCCTCGTCCTCCGCACCGCCCAGACCGACGACGGCGACCTCAGCGACAGCGCGAGCCCGTCCCCGTCGCGGAGCTCCCCGGCCTCGCCGCACCGGAACACCCTGCTCCCGCCGCCGCCGCCGCCCACCGAGCGCACGACCACGGGGTTCCTCCCCACGACCTCGAAGGCGACCCTGGGCTCCTCCTCCTCATCCCCGCCGCCACCTAGGAGGCGGAGGGCCACGTGGCGGCGCGAGACGGTGCGGTCGGAGGCGGCGGCGCCGCGGCCGAGCACCGCCTCGGGGGAGTCGCCGGAGAGGGACACCGGTGGCGCGGTGCTCCTCCTCCCGCCGCCGCCTGCTGCTTCGAGTTCGAGCTCCATGGATGCTAAGCTGGCGACGGCGAGGTCGCCCGAGAGGAGAGGGACGCGTCTCTCAGGGGTTGGCAAATGGTATAGGTGTCCAAACGGGCGGCACGGCCCGGCCCGGCACGGGCACGGGTCCGGCACGGCCCGTTTCGGCACGGCCCGTTAGGCACGGCTGATGAAACGGGCCGTGCCGTGCCGGCCCACGTGCCGAGCCGCCGGCCCAAGCACGGCCCGTGGATGGCCGGGCCGTGCCCGTGCCGGCACGGCACGCCCGCGGCCCACGGGCCGTTCGGGGCACGGCGGCCCACGGGCCTCCAGTGCACAGTGTTTTTTTTAAAAAAAAAAGCAAAGGAAATGTATAAGGAAAAAAAAATTAAAAATGGAAATAAAATGTTTAAAAAAAAGTAATGATTTACTAATGTTAAAAAATGAAAAAATGGTATTTAAAAAATGGAAATAAAAGTTTTTTAAAAAAGTAATGATTTGCTAATGTTAAAAAAAAGAAAAAATGGTATTTTTTTGTTGTGTTGAAAAATTTAAAAATATAGATTGTGATTCATTATTTTGAAATAATTTGAAGATAAATCCACACTTGCGAAAATATTGCAAAAGAATTTGTTAAAAATAGTAATGACCTTTATTGATGTTTATATCATTACAGGATACAATGATACATGCTGCCTCGTTAAAAACTTTGTCATGTAAAAACTCATAGGGGAAAATGAGAAAACCATGACAAAGAAAAGAGTACAGCTCAAAGGTCAGAACTACTTCTAACAAAATTCTACTGGGGTTGGTCTGGATCCAGGTAGAGTTGCTCGAACTGGGCGGCCAATTCTTGGTTGTCCGCAGTGTATTGGGCATGTTGTCGAGCAAGCTCCCAGTCTTTAACGCTTAGTAGCATTTCGACGTGGTCGCTGCGCAGAGTCGTCCTCCGGTCTTCGATGATTCGGCCGCATAGACTGAAGGCCGATTCGGAGGACACCGTCGACACGGGCACCGTCGACACGGGCACCGTCAACACATCCCGTGCTAGTTTTGAAAGCACAGGATATGTTATCTTGTGGTCATTCCACCACCCGAGGACGTTGAAATCTTGTGCTTCGTGGTGGATGGCGTCGCTGTCCAAATAACCGGACAACTCTTCGGCCACAACATGCGAAGAGGCGTCTCCACTTGTAGCCGACGAACTGCCACCACCTTGGATTGAACTTGAAGACGATCCACCCCAAATCCTACCCCACTGTATCTTCTTCTTACCTGTAGTGGGGATAGGAGGGGGTCTCTGCTGGCGAACTTCCTGAAACTTTACTTCATATCTTCCAAAAACCTCATATAATTTACGTCTAACCTCAGTATAAAAAGAACTATAATCTACACCTATAGTATCTCCAACAAGTGATAAAATAGCAGACAATCCCCTTAATTTACACCTAGGATCTAAAACAAAAGCAAGAGCATACAACATAGGTATATTTTTCCAATATTTCAAATATTTTTGTTTCATGTGAAAGACAGGTTCAGTTAGAACGTCATCATTTTCGTATTCTTTAAATAAAGTAGCAATTTCAAGAAGGTTGTGCAAAATTATATTAGCAGTTGGATAATAAACTTGTGACAAAGTTAGAGTACAATCATAAAAAGTTTCTAGAAATTGGTAAAATTTTTGGACAATTGCCCAAACATGCTCGTTCAGTACTGAAGACCCGTCACTGTTTCTTGGGCCACCACGTGACTGAACAAAATCAGAAAGTAAACTACTATAAGGTAAAACAACTTTTAACATTAAATACGTTGCATTCCACCGATGCTCTGCATCGGTGGCAAACTTACGAGCTTTCACACCGGCCGCATTGCAAAACCTCTTCCATGCAGCAATCCGCGGGTTAGAAGCAGTTAACCACGCGATTGCTTGACGAACAGCATCGATGTGGTCACCTACCCTCTTCATGCCAGTCTTAACAATCAAATTAATTATATGACATGCACAACGCTGATGGAGTAGAAAAGATTGAGCATACACACAAAATAAAGGTTGCAATATTTCAATAGCCCTAGAATTAGCAGATGCATTATCTAGGGTGACAGCAAATATTTTATCAGCAAGATTAAATTCATTAATTACTTCCCTAATTCTTTCAGCTATGTTTTCTCCTGTATGTGAGACATCTATTAACCTAAGCCCTAAAACTCTCTTTTGTAATTGCCAATCATCATCAACAAAATGAACAACTACGCTAAGATAATCCTCTCTAGCTCTACTACTCCATATATCTGAAGTAACACTAACAGAGAAAGTACATGTACTAAACAGTTCCTTAAGTGCAGTTGCTTCCTTGTGATAAACATTCTCTAAATCTCTAGTTGATGTTTGCCTACTCACAGCTTTAAACCTAGGGTTATGAGATTGCTGAATGTAATGTTCAAAAGCAGGGGACTCCCCAAAGTTCAGGGGTAAATCTTGCCTGGCGATTAACCGGACAAGAGATTCCCGAGCAACCATGGGATCGTACTCCCAACTGCGTACCGTACCGTCTGGGTTTACCATAAGTTGCTGCTGCCGGAGTTGTATTCCTTGCTTCTTGGCACACGACTCCGCATGGCGCTTGAGGTGACCTGTACCACCAGAAGAACGAGCAGATAAAATTTGCCTACATATTCTACAACGGGCTTTCGATACCTCCCTTCCGTCGGGGCATGTTTCCTTTATCTCGTCGAAGCTTTGCCACACACCGGAGGTTCTCGATCTCTTCGAGCCGGTGTGTGTCGAAACACTTCCGCTCGCGGTTCCGGAAAATCCTTCCGAAGCTGTCTCCGCCTGAACCGGTACCTCCTCAACGACAGCCGTATGAACCGGTACCTCCTCCACAGATGGTGGAGTTGGAGCCGATCCGGAGGCATCGTTAAACCCCGACATGTAGTTGGGGTCGAAATCACCCAAGGTGAACGACGGCGACTGGTATGGAAAGTTCGGATCCATTCTGAAAATTTAAACCGACATAAACAAATTTTCGAATATTTATTGAATTCACAAACACAATACAAATAATACACAAATTTGAATATTACTTACATCTTTCCAACCGCGAGCTCTTCAAACCTCTGCGATCAAACTGTTGAACTACGAAACTAATTTTGATTTTTGACAAAATTTGAGCAAATTTTGTCAAAATCAAAAAAAATGCACACTTGAGAACAAAGAGAGCACTTAAAACACTTGAGAGCACAAGATGAGGAGTGTGGGATGAGGAGAAATGGCTGGGGTTCATGCCCTATTTATAGGGCGAAATTTGAGATTTTTTGGAATTTTTTCGAAATTTTTATGAATTTTTTAGCCTCCCAACGGTTATTTTCAAATTTGAACGGTCAAATAGCCGTTAGTGCCACGTGGCGCCTTCCCATTCGACCGCCGCCCGCACTGTCCGCGCCTGACGGGCCGCCGGCGTGCCGTGCCGTGCCGTGCCGCGGGCCGTGCCGTGCCGGCCCGCTACAGTAGCCGTGCCGGCCCGCGGGCTCGGCCAGCGGCCCAAGCACGGCACGGCTACTCGTGCCGTGCCGGCACGGCCCGTTACTGTAGCAGGCCGTGCCGGGCCGTGCCTGCTACAGGTTCGGCCGTGCCCCGGGCCGCCCGTTTGGCCCGGCCCATTTGGCCACCTCTAGCAAATGGCAAGCGGCGGCAGCGAGTGCTGTGCTGTGCTTATGTGGGCCGTGACTACGTGAATTTGGGCCGGGCCGATTTTAGTATTCGAGGCCCACAGTCTGTCCATTACGTTTCACGCTTATGGGTTTCTCATTTTCTTTTTTTTTTCTCCCAACCTATAATACTAAATCGCTTTTGCTATTTTGCAGTCGCCTGCAAAATTTTAATCCATCAGTCGATCGCATCGACCGTCGATTATGTGTCTTGATTTTGTGCGCGCCATCATCTTTCCCTTGCTAATAAGCCCAAAGTCCGCAGCCCACAGCCCACAGCCTACAGCCCACAGCCCACAAATAGCTCTGGAGAAATCCGTCCGCACCCGTGACTCATCTAGAAAGCGCTTCTGCTTCTCGACTTCCCCTCTCGAGTAGATAGCGTTTGTGTTTTTCTCGAGCAGGGGGAGACGGAGTCCTGCGAGCGGAAGGTGCCGGAGATTCTTCCAAGGCAGGAGGTGGAAGGGGAGGCGAGCGGGGGAGGTGGGCTGTGCACCGCGAGCGGCCGCGGACGGCGCCGGGGAAGGCACCGCGAGTGTGCCGTCGAAGGCGAGCGCGCTTGAGTTGAGGCACTTCAGGTTTTTTCATCTCTCTTTTTTGTTCAAATCTCACGCCGCGACGGCCTGATCCCCTCAGCTCCAGATTTTCTATCATGTGGATTTTGTGAGTTGTTTAGGGCTGGATTGGCTACCATTTCAAGGGAGGGGGGGGGGGGTTCCCGCGTAGTTTTTTTTTCATTCCTTGATGCTTTGGAGTTTACTGGGTATATGTTTTTGACTTGATTTTGCCCAATGTCGAGTAAAGCATCCTGGATCTGAAACCACATGATGTGTGTGCTTTGAAGTTTTGTTCGGTGTAGTTGGGGAAAATTTTTTTAGGGTTTTTACTGCACATCGCGTATGATATAGTCGGCAGGAGGTGGGCTGCACCTCTGCCTGGTTCTAAACCTTGCCACTAATTATTTTCTCCCTAACTTCATTTTCTCACTAATTATTTTCTTTTGATGTAAATCATTTCCCCATCTGTGAAGAATAACTGGATATATATAGCCCATAAATTTGCGAATAAACATGCTTACTATTGGGTCATTCTCATTATGGAGTACTCATCAGTCAGACCATCCGAGCTGGATTTAGAGGAATAACATGCTTACTTCAGTTTTTTGCTCCCAACTTGAAACATAATGTATAGAGAAATAGGTTTTGTCATTTTCTTTAGAAATAGTTATAAGCAGTTCTGTCATTGGAGACAGAGATAGTTGTCAATAGTTAATTTTGTCTGAACTCTAGCTGCAATTTTGTAGCAGTTTGTTTTGTAGCTGCAAGGTACAGTTTCTCATATTCAGATATGTGTACTTTGTTAAAACCTGACATAGCAGAGGTACAAGATTCAGAGGTCAATATATTTGTGTGCCAATTCATATTATTTCTGTTA